GGATAAGGCTACCACTGAGAGAAGGGGTGATGTCACAGTTTCTGAGTGGTGCCTGTGTGTGTTCAAGCCCCACTGCTCCATATCCTGGTTCTCAACCTAGGACAATGACCAAGCAGAAGATATTTTTACTAGGAAGATCTGATTTGTCTCTGACCACCTCTCCTTGACCTCTCCCGAGGTAGTAAAGGGAGATTTAGGTACACTGAAAAAAAAATCCCCCAAGGAAGGTATGCAGAAGAGGCTAGGGAGAAAGCCTCATTGGTAAAGTGCTTGCCAACACACAAATCTGAGGCTCTGAGTTTGATGCTCAATGCCCTTGTAAAAGCTGGGATGTGGTAGTCCATCTGTGATCCCACTGCTGGGGAGGTGGGCCCCTGGGACTTGTTGGTCAGGGACCATAGCCTAAGTGTAGAGCTTCAGGTCCCAGCGAGAAACCCTATCTAAAAGAAAAAATTAAAGTAGACATGCACATCTTCATACTCATGAACACACACCTGTATATAAAGACACACACACACACACACACACACACACACACGTAATCACACAATGAGAAGTAGCTTGTTGCGCTCACATGTGAGGTGTAGAGAGATGAGAGGGATCACGGACAAGGTCATGCGAGGGCTCAGTCCTGATGAGAGCTCCTGATTTATTGTGACTGAGAACACAAGCAGAGAGCTGTCTGGCCAGATCTGCATTTTAGATACATTACTCTGTGGGGAGTGTAGGCCTGGTGGCAGGAACAACGATTAGAGGTTGTTAAGAGTCTGCAGAGAGGAACCAGAACAAAGGGGTGGCTCAGACAAGACGGGCAGGGGGTGGGGTAGGGGAGCCGAACCCGAAGGCTGATTGGATACAGGGTGTAGTGGTGGGAGGAGTCCCGCCAGCTTGTAGATTTGGGGGTGGTAGTGCCACCAACTGAGACCAGAAGCAGACAGCAGAGAGAGGAGTGTGACTTAGGAGGGGGAGAAGAGAGAAATTAAGAGATGATGACTCAAGTCTAGACATCAAGTTGGAAGCATTTGTGATTTAGAGTCCACTTGGCAACTGGCCAGAGCCTGAGTCTCTGAAAGAGAGACACTATAGACACCAGCAAACAGGTAGGCTCACGTGGAGAGATGGGTGAGCAGTGCGTCAAGGCCACAAAAGCATTCAGGAAGGCGTGGAGGAGAGGCAGGCGAGGAACACGAAGAACACACAGTGTATATCCACGTGAGGTTATCCCATCTCTACATCTGGCTTTTTAGCCTCAACTAAGCTCCGTAGAGTTTAGAAAGGGACTTGTCTGGAATCTCTTCTGTGTGCTGTGTGAGTTCAGAGTATGTTCTCTGAAGTCCTACCTACGTGAGCTCAGGAAGGGTGTTCTCAGCCGGGGGAGAGAGAAGATGAAACCCATACACCATTCATGTAATTGGTGGATTTGGAGGGAAAGCTACACACTGCCTACAACAAGAGGGACCCAAATGATCACATAGGCCCTCGGGTGACCTCAGAGGAAACATCTAGATCCACTGGCAACACAGAAACTTCAGCTCTTGTTGACTGAAAAGGTGCTTGGAAGAGAGCTGTCAGCCTACATTTCAGTGAGACCATAGCTGTTTCTATGATACCAATTAACAGGCAGAAAATACTGCCACAAGGCTGTAACTGAATCCTCAATAGCCTTTCTGTTTAATTTCAATTACACTTTTTTTTGAGAGTCATAAGCCTGTCAGACAAGCCAAGAGCTAGCTTAAAGCAATCATTTCTCTTAAACCACTCCACCTCTCCAGAACAGAACTCAGTCTGTGATTTACAGCTACTTACTGATTTCATCCACATTTTCCAGAAATCTCTGCAAGTCTTTCTCTTGATCATCAGCCATTGCAGACACAAATCTCTAAGGAAGGTGGTATAAATTATAAAATTAATAATAAAGCACTAAGCAACCGTCGGGCTTATTATCTGTCTAAGACTAAGAGCCAAGTGATTATTATTGAGGCAGATTTGTGTGTGTAAATGTCAAGGAAAACAGCAGGGTGAGCCATTTTCTTCTGACTGCTGTTTAAGGCCAAGGGACACTCATTACTTGTGGCAATACTTCCTGAGAGCTGCCAGCCCTGCCTCTGCTGGGGAAATTGCTCTCCAATAATTCCTCCAAAGGCAACATCAACCACTGTAATTTAGGAATCAGTTGCAAAGGAAGCTGGGAGGGCAGTCGTTGGATTTCCAGGGCTAGAGCAGGAGAGTAATGCCCAACTTTGGTCATGACAGGCATGCCTAATCAGAAGCTAGGACCAGGCAGAGCATCAGGTAAGTAGACAGAGGACTAGCTGCATATACATGCCCACACTTGCCTAAAACCTACCCCTCTGGCTTGTTTCTGAGGATGAAGAGAAGGTACAAATTGGCAAAAGATGTCAAAGTACATCCGGGTCTGCTTTTCAGATGCCCCCCCCAAAGTACATTGGCTTTATTACACTTGGTTTTGGACACGAAGACTACATGGTAAACTCTGTGGTAAACAGTTAAAGATCACCTGAAGCTTCCCCAGCTCTGGCCCACTCTGGGTCTCAGCTCACGCGGGAGCGTTCCCCAGGGATGCATATTTTAAATATACTATTCTGTGGTTCTGACTGGTACATAGACTTGGTAGTGCAGTCATAAAACACACAATTGTACAACACATATAAGACAACTGTGAATTAAAACTTTGTCACGGACAAGTACCCAGTTTCTCCGTGCATGTTATGGAAAACAAAATGCGAACCCAGAAGGACACCACAGGGCTGACTTTAGCAACTGGTACTTGGTGGGTTATTAGTGAGGTTCCCTTATATAGAAAACAGGCTTGCATTTGGCTCATTTAGAATCCCCTGGAAACTCGTCCAAAGGTACGAGGCTAGCACAGACCCGAAGCTTCACCGACAGAGAAGGCCAAACTTTCTAGAGCCTTAAACCCAGTTCAGGGATCAGCAGCTGCACAGAGCCACAACTCCATGGCAAGGACTGGGGTGGGGGTGGGGGTAGGGGACTGGGACGCACACCCTCGCCCCGCCCCACCGTCATGCACACCCCACTGGAGGGCGGGGACAGCTGCACTGTTGCCTGGCAACCTCTCAGCGTCCTGGCCTTGTGCATTTTGGGTTGGTCCCAGCCTGTACCTGGTACCTGCCCATTCTTGGGGTCCCAAGACAGTGGCCTCTGTTCAACTCTAAGGCCAGGTCAGGACCAGTCCCAGGGTAGACCCCAGGCCACCCACCTGAACTGACCTGCAGCGATCAGGATCGGACAGGAAGTGGATGTGGCGGGCAAACTGTGACTGGCCTCGGATGGAGAGAGGCGGGGCCTGGGTGGGGCGGGGCCTCTTGTGACTCTCAGAATGCGCTGCCCAGTTTGAGCCTGGGATAATCCACCCAGAGTCCTTAACAGCCTTGCGCTGGTCTCTAAAGCAACGCTGGTAACATCCTTTCGCTTTTGAGGAGCAAGGGATCTCAGTCCCAACTGGTTTCATATCATTACCCCACAGAGTCAAAGTCTCCATCCAGCGTACTTCTGTGTGAGTCCGGTTTTGTTTAATGACCAATGTGTGGTCTCCAAGGCGGTATGGTACTCTCTTTGCTTCTCAATTTTTCTCACAAAGTGAAAAAAAAATCGCACTTTCTTATTGGGTTTTTATGGTTAAGAAGTGAGTGGTATGCAGAGAAACCTAGTAGGATTTGGGGTAGAGGGAGCTTGGGACACATTCATTCACATTCAAAATAAGTGCACACACCTTTAAAGAGACCCCTCCCCCCCCCCCACACACACAGTAGAAAAAGGGTTATCACTGTGTAGTCCAGCCTGGCCTCAAACTCCCTATCCTCCTTTGTAGGTAAGTTTGAAGGGAACAAGATTGAGCTGATGACCCTCTGTCTGTGGGTGCTTTTACAGGATTCCTGACAGGAGCTGAGCAGTCCCAAGCGGTAGCACTTCCCAGGAGGGCAGAGAGGTCCAGGCAGAGCCAGCCAATTCCAACACGGATTGCAAGATTCTACAAGGCAAAGCCTCAGATAGTAGAAGAGTTATTTGAAGCCTTCATGGGCACGGCGGGCAGAGGGAGTCTAGCTGGAGTACTTGCCAATTGAGAACAGCACAAAGAGGCAGAGATGGTTCCTCCTATTTAGGCCCCTGTCACATTTTCTTTTCTCTTTTTTCTGCTTTAAAAAAAATCAAAAATAAATCTTTTTACATAATCTATTTTGATCTCCATTTACCTTCCCTCATCTCCTTCTTGATCTTCCCCAGTGGCCCACCCTTCCAATTTCATGTCTTCTCTCTTTCAACAGGAAAACAAAAACTATCAAACAAACAAACTAGAATAAAACAAAACAATACTAAAAGGAAAAAACATAAAAACACATACACATGCAGACACACACACATGCACACAACTACACATACATACACATGCATCATAAAACACAAAATTGAAAACTTTAATATACAAGCAAAGGACCAGTAAGGTTAACGAATGTCTAAACAAAGAAATATGAGGCCAAAAATACCTTCCAAAAATACCATTGAGCTTGTTTTGTGTTGGTCAACTACTACTAGACACAGTGCATACCCTTAAGTATGATTTGTACTCCCAGTGAAACACAAGTGGAGAAAACTAAGTTTTCCTTTTTGTGTGGTTAATTGGTAATAGTTTCTTGGTTAGGCTTAGGAGATCATGTTCACTTCCTCCTTTCAGCACTGGGACCTCATCTGGCTTGGACCTATGCAGGTCTTGAGCACGCTGCCAAAGTCTCTGGTGTTCATTTGTGAGTTGTTCTGTTGTGTGTGGAAGACACTGTTTCCTTGGTGTCTTCCATCTCCTCTGGTTCTTACAATCTTTCCACTTTCTCTTCCTTATAGCCCCCTGAGCCCTGAGCGAGAAATTTGATGAAGACCCCCTGTTTAGGACTGAGAGTTCAAAGTCTCTCACTCTCTGTACACTATCCAGCTGTGGGTCTCTGCATTAGTACCATTTGTTGCAGGAGGAAGCTTCTCTGGTGATGGCTGGGTGAGATACTGATCTGAGTCCGGGTCCCGTGTGACCACTGGAGAATCCCAGGTAGAAAGTGTTTCTGGGTATTAGATACTAACACCAAGGACCACGAATGGGGTAGAAGTGGGCGGGGTTCTGAGATGGTCCGCAGGAATGCTGGATCTGCTGAATGGTTCATCAGTCCTCAGAGAATGGAGGCCCCTGTAAGAGGTCTGTTATGGGACTGGGAATGAGATTTCCCTGTCACCCCAGTTAAATCTGATGTCAACCGACATGGAAGGCATTATTTGTTCACTCAGCTAATGTTCTATTAATGGTTATATCATTTCATTTTCAAATAAGCCCAAATGACCTAAATGTTGTAATGCCAGCATAAGAGAAATGCTGGTACTTCTAAAACACCCATGACTTTAAAATATATCTCTCCAATGGACTCCAATAGAGCACGTCTGGAGGGTGATCTTGATTATGTTAAAGTGGGAAGATCTGTTGACTGTGGGTGGCATCATTACCTAAGCTTGGTATCCTGGACTTTTATAAAGTGGAAAAAGCAAGCCGAGTATTAGCATACATGCATTCGTGGACTGCAGATGGCATGCAACCAGCTGCCTTGCCTTTACCACCTTCATGGACTGTTAGTACCTTGAACTGTGAGCTAGATAAATCCTTCCCTTCTTAAGTCTCTTTCGCCAGGGTTTTATAACAACACAGGGGAAAAAAATCTCAAGATAGCTAAAGAATGTGGTTTTCCTTAGAGTGCGAAGTTACATTGCTTTCCTACTGGAAGGCACAATCCAGTGTGCACTCAGGAAAACTAACCTTTTTAGAGAATGTCTCATGCTTCATTATGTTCACTGATGATGCCCTGGTGTTTCTCTACCACAAAAATAGCCACTGACATTGTTGGAAGTGTTCTCTGTGACCAGCTCCCAGGACAGAATGATCCCACGCCTCAGGAAGGGAAAGGGATTACTGAGTGGTTTTCAATCACCGTGGATACTGAGCACATGTAGAGGCTTCCGGTAGAAGCAGGCCCAGAGGCAGGAAATAGTGTGATGTGTAAAAACAAAGAAAACTTTAAGGTAAGTAGTGAGTCACGAGCTCCAAGATGTGGGTGAGGTAGACCTGTCAAGGCTGAAATCCAGAGAGAGCATGACACTAGCACGGGGCCAGGTGAGAGCGCTTGTGAGAAGTGCTGGGAGTTCTGGGAAAGTGACTGGTGGGCTTGGCTGCTGGCTTCTTCAGAAGTCCTTTGCATCTGATGACTTCCACTCCTGTTGCAGTGGAGCTCAGCCCTCCAAGCCGCAGTGCTGTAAGCGCACTGCAGTTCTAAACCAAATTCCTCAGGACTAGAGGCTTGGCTGTGTTTGTCTTTGTGTTTCCAACACCCAGGGCTTGGTTGGACCTAAATGAGCAAATATGCTTACAAGAACTCTCAAGCGTGCTATTCTCGATGGCGAAAGCATGAGAGCTGACAGTTGTTTGCATTAGGCTCCCAAGGTCATCTGTCCTGAAGATCTGAAGACTGTTTGGCTCTTTTGTTTGTCTCTTTGTCCATTTGCTGATTTTAAGGATGGTATCTTGTTCTGTGGCCCTGCACATGACTCATAGACTATGCCCCGCTCAACCAATGGAGGCCTGAGTTCCTGAGAGAGAATGAATGGGACTCAGATAACAGTCTACCTTTGATGGATGCATATGAGTGAGCAAGGGACCTGGTGATAATGTGTCAACATTTGGGGTGGGTTTGTCACCTCAGCACAACATCTAACATGCCCATCTCTCTTGATTCAGCCCTCTAAACTACCTGTTCTTCATTTGATACCATCCCTAAATCCAGGGACCCTGTGGGTCTATGTAGATTAGGATCACTGTTAGATTTTTAAGGGTCAATGTCTTTGTGTATTTGCAGGTGGGTAACATGTTTAGAGAGTTTTTGAAAGAATTAGTGAGCTGTATTTCAAGACTGACTTTACTTTCATCAAACCTAAATCTCCTGTGCGGGACCTCGGTTTTGTTGTTTATGTCTTCAATAAAAATGGAAGAACATTTGGTCACCCTTCACTGTATCATAAATCTGGAACTTAGAGATTAATAGAAGCCACCAACGCTCCCTTTTCCTCAGCTCACTCCCCCACCGTGCAAATAACCCTAGCTCCTTGATTTTTCTCATCAATTACGTTTTATAAGTTTAGAAGAGGTTGAAAAACAATCCCCAGCCACGTGTAGAATGGAACAAACTACCTTTGCCTGCTGAGACTAAATGGTGTAGAAAAGTCCACCAGAATCCAGGAGACCAATTGTAAGAAAACCCGTCAGCTGTGGGGGGAGGTTAACTTTGCTAACCTGGGCTTCAAGGTTCAGAGAGGAAGAAGTCAGCAGGGTTTTTGTGCTTCATTTCTTTCTCTTACACACGCGTCCTTACAAGGAGAGAAAATGATAAGGAGCTATAAATATTTCTACCCACTTTTTCCAGTCCAAGCCTCCACTGTAGAGGAAGGAGTGATTTTAGGACCCCAACTCCACGTGTCTGCAGGGGACAAGAGTCTCTCTTGGAATTTCTGTGCTAAAGCAATGGCATGGAAAACACTATCCATGACCACAATAGCCGTCCCAAGAAACTCTTGCTGAGCTGCTGTGTTCCTGGAACACACACGGATTAATTTAAATGTTCTATTTATTGCCATGTCTCAAGACAAGAGCACACAGACCCATGGGTCTGAGGCTAGCCAGGAGCCGAGCAAGACCTGAGCCTTTGTCTGTGTCCTCAAAGATACCCCTGCTTCAAAGCCATCCTCCCATGAACACCCTTGTGGCAGACAGCGCTGGTTTCCAACTTTTGCAGTCAGCAACCATCCTGGGAGCTTCCATCTAAGCTTAGGATTTGCCCCCCCCCATAGGTATGTAAAGAAGTCTGCTCCACACTTGCCACAAGTAAGTCTAACTTCCTCTCCAAAGGGACATGCCACTGACTCCATTTAAAAAAAGCAAGGCGGTTCCACCAATGCTCTTTTAAAGAGACTTTTCCGTGAATCATGAGACTTCACTGCTAGAAAAGAGAGTGGCAACTCCATGCCAGATGTGAACAGCACCCCTTTCTGCATGCTGTGGAGTAGCACTGCCATCTTGTGGACCGAGTCTGTGATTAGACAGAGCCATGGCAGGGAAAAACTGTAAGGCACACAAGTCAGTGCTCAGCTGTTTTTGTGTTTTCCTTGCACGTATTTAATGCTAACCGAGCACCCACTGGATGCACATACCTGGCAAGACTCTTTCTACAGCTGCTCTGCGGAGACTGCTTCTCCAGATAGTGAAGTAATGCCAACTGCTCCGCATGTTGAGTTTAATATCAATTAATTGCTTGTTTGAGGTACTAGGTCATCTATCTACTGGTGACTGCTCTCACCAAATAAACAAGATACATCAGCTTTGTTCACTAGAGTTTTCTCTGCCATCAAGATTTGTGGGATAAAAGCACACACAGAGTTACAAGACTTCATAGTTTCACATTGTCCTGATGCAGGTCCCCTTTTGGTTGCTATGGAAGCCTGGAGATAGGTATTGCTAGTGAGCAGCATCTCATCTTTGTGTCTACGGTTTGATACCATTTTAGAAGCACATGGCAGAAACTGGGTCCCCGAGCACCATTAGCTAGATTCAGTCTTTGGTCTAAGAATTTCTGCAATACTGTCACCATGCTTACATGTGGACTTGGGTTACTTAGCCAGCGTAAGATCATCATCACTCCTACTGCTGCCCCATTCCAAGGACCCCTTACCAGGGGCTTAAAACATTTCTCATGATGTTACACAGCAATCTCAGGAGATGGTTTCCCTGTCCACTCAATAGCCAACAGCAGAGGCCCTGAGGGGTGCTTATGCAGCTCACCTCTTATCAGTGTGTGCTATCTAACCACATTGTTTTCATTATTATTCATTATCCTCATATGTTTAAACCAATTTACTGTGCAGTGCCACACACGCCTGCTCATTAGCACATTGAAGCAGGCATTCTTCTGTGCATAATATTTACATTTATTCACGTCTCCAGGCCACACACCACCTTAGATCTTTAGTTCCGTTTACATTTTGCAAGAGCAGCATCTCAGAGTGGAAGTTTTTTAGCATCCTCGGTTGCTAACATTCCCAAATTGCTCCTCAGTGTTCCATGAACATCAGTGCAGTTGGCGTTCTAACTGGTCCACGTGAGGATGTCAGGTCCTCACTAGCACGATTTCCCTTTTTCCCCTTACATGTAAAGACGGTGAATGTTCTGAAGACTGCACCCAGAATAAATGTATTGCTCTGCGTGGGTTTCACATTTAGACTGAAACCTTCTGTTTCTTCCAACACTGGGATTTTCCAGGTCCCTCTAGAAGCACAACAGAGAACGGCATGTTCTCACATGGCACTTCTTTTCTCATGGTACAGTCCGGAACCATCGGAGCCATCTGGGAGTCTTTAAGCCAGGGCTTCTTAACCTAGGCTCTGAGAGCCCATGGATACAGCCGAAGGTCCCTGAGCATGATAATTATAGAAGATAAGATAGTCCAAATATCCATTTTCCTTAGCAATATAAATACTATTTTTAACAAGCATATCACTAAGTATAGCACTTATTTTATTGTTAATATAGGCAACAGCTCACTGCATGGCCCTGATGTCACTTAACCTCAGCAGCAAAACATCCCAGCTGTTTGACATCACAATAGTCATTAGGTAAGGTGATAGAACTTGCCTTTCAGAGTACTGTGTTGCAAATTCCTTTTTACAATATTTAGTAATTTTAAATCAATAAAACTATTTCCCTATTTAATTCCAGCTATTTTATTTTAAATGAATATATTAAATAAAAAATACATTTCCAAAAAGAGGTCCATATACATCATATGACTTCCAGTGGGTCAAAGCAGAAAAATTGTTTAGGATACCTTTCTTCTCTTTACAGGAGAGTTCTGAAAAACAAATGTGTATACTACTCACTCTTATGGTAGAGCTTGACACCCTTTCTCTTGGGAGTTTGTTGGCCCAAGAGTGATTCATTTGCAAAAATGTATAGGAAGGTGAGCAGTTATGTTATAGTAGGCAGTTTTTCATCGGGACCATCGGCTCCCAAATAACCACTCAGAGTCTTAATATTAATTATAAATAAAGCTCAGGCTTGTTACTAGTTAACTCTTACATTTTAATTAACCCATATTTCTTATCTATGATTTGCCTTGTGGCTTGGTACCTTTTCTCAGGATGGCATGCCTATCGTGCTTCTCTCTGTGTCTCTGCTAGTGACTCTTTGACTCTGCCCTTCTTTTCCCCATCATTCTGTTTGGTTCTCCTGCCTAATTTTATTTTGTCCACCTATTGTCCATTCAGCTTCTTTGCTAAACCAATCACAGTGGCAAATCTTCACAATGTACAAAAAGATTACAATTTACAATGAGAACACTTAACCATGCATGCAAGGGACTAAGGTCAACAACACCAAAGTAAGCCGTGTTGTTATCCTATAGCTCTGACAGGGTGCTGTGAGAAAAACACGTCACCTATAGTGTGCTCTCCTCTAGAATCCGCAATCCCTGTCCGAGTGTGAGGAAACAAATGAGGAAACCAGAAGCAAAGATATTCTATAGACCCTGACCAACATCTTCTCAAGTGCCAAATTCATGACAAGCAAGGGAAAACAAAACAAAACAAGAAGACCTGAGGAATGAAGGTATGGGATGCCATGCTCTGGGCTCCACCCTGACACACAGGTGGAAAAGCTGGTGACCATCTCATAAAACCTAGAGTTTATAGTATTAGTGTCTCAGAACACACAGCTTTTCCCTTTTTCATAAACCTTCCCTGGTCTGTGTGAGCATCAGAGGGACCCGGGTGATCTGCTAGTTTGAGGAAACTCTGTTCCATCATGGAAACTTCTGTGAGTCTATTCCAAAATAAAAGTTTGAGGGGAAAGGGAAGCCCTCAAGTTTCTTGTCCTCTGCTAATATTTCCTCCCGGTTTTGACTTACTTCTTTCAGTTGGGCTCAAACATATTGATTGGCCACCAGGTGGCATCAGAGGCTGGGCTGGGTGTGTGAAGATAGAGAGGAGATCTGAAAATGATACCCCTGAGGAAATTATAGCCTTCCATGCAAACCCGAAAGAGATGCCTCTATAATGTTATAGAATGGATTCTCCAAGAGATTTGCACACAATCAACACAACGGGAAAGAAGGAAGAGAGGTAGGGAATGGCGAGTGAGCCAAGTAAGGCACTGCGGGCAAAGGAAGAATGGGGATTCTAGATAATGTACCCTGTGAGCCAGACCTTAGCACATCTGTCCACTGGCCTGTCTTCTGATCACCCAATATGAGGAGCCTCAGGACTGGAGTTTGTCAGGTCCCTGCCTCTGATTCTCAGCATATCCACTGGGTTCCTACCCCCAGAAGACAGGTCAGGAGAGCATAGTCAAGCCAGTTTGAGGCTCTCTGCTGTATTTCTAGCTCTTAGAACAGTGTCTTAGTTCAAATTGTTATGGCAAATGAATATAAATTGAATGGTTTATAAATGAACCTTTTTTTATGATTCTGGAAGCTGGAAGTCTATCATGAAGGCCAAAGAAGATGGTACCGTGTAAGGGATCACTTCCTGGTCCATAGACAGCCATCTTCTCCTGTATCCTCACATGGCAGTAGGAGTGAGAGAACTCTCTGGCTCATTCCCATGACTGGCTTACCAGCCAAATGACTCACCTCCAATGTGTGGCACTGGAGTTAAGGTCCTAGTTCACGAACTTTCAGACATTTGGTCTGCAGCACACAGGGAGCAGAGCACAGTATTGAATGTGCACCTTCTTGGACCTTGATAATTTTGTGTTTATCTGTTGCAACACCCTACCGCCACTTTCTAATTTATTAGGGAGGGATTCGTGAAATTCTTTTGGTTTTTAAATAAGTCTTCTCATGTACACTGACTTTAGTGAGAACAAGCACAGAGATTTCTCAGGCCTGGCAGGTCCCTGGGATGCAAGGCTGAGTCAGACTTGCCCTGCTTCCTGTCTGTTGCTTTTATCACATGGAAACCCAAGACTCTTCCTATGGGTTAAATTGTTTCTTTTATATTAGAAGTGTCAGGGCCCATGCAATGGCTCAGCTTCATCTTGACTTAAGGTCAGAGAGTTCAAAACTGTCCTTAGTCTTCCAAGGCTAAAGTCATAAGACCTAAAGGTCTAAGGCGTGGCTACTGAGGGATGTTTGGTCTAAGGTGTGGATGTCTTATCTAAATAACAAGAGACTTGGTCTAAGGTGTGGTTACTCTCAACCCTCAAGGTCAGATAATGAGAGATTTAGAGAGATTTAGTCTAAGGCATGGTTACCAAACGTTTGGAAAATTAAGGAAGTATCTGTTTGTTCCTTGTGTCATGGTAAGGAAGTGGTTTTTTTTTTAACCTTTCCCCACTTTTTTGGTTTGGGTATATTAGAATGTTGAATAAACTTGGGGCATTCAGTATTCACTTGATTGCCCTCCTGACTCTATTCTGCTTCTCGATCTTTTCTTTAGTATCTTACCTGCAGTTTCTTTTTCCACACTCCCTGTCTCAGGCACGAACCAAGCAAGTCTGCTGGATCTGACTGAAGCCCCCCAAAGACATGTTCTTTCATAGAAGTTTCTGTAACAATCCTATCAGTGTGGGGCCAGGGAGATGGCTCAGCAGTTATGGATAGGCATTTGCTGCTTTTGTAGAAAACCTGGGTTCTGTTGACAGCACCTACATGGTGGCTCACAGTTTCTTATACCTCCAGTTCCAGAGGATCAAGCATCCTTTTCTGGCCTCCTTGGTTACTGCATGCACATGGTACACATACCTGCATGAAGGCAAACACTCATACACATAAAATAAGTAAACCTTCCTCCACAAACCTAAGAGTGGAAGGAATCTCCAAAAAGAAAAAAATGCTACTAAGGGAAGAAATGGAAGGAGACAGGCATTGTGGTGCACACTCATAGTTCCAGATTGGGAGTAGAGGCAGGACGATACCAAATTTGAGGGCAATCCAAGCCAAGTAGTTAAGTCAAGGCCATCCTGGGCTATAAAAGAAAATCAAAGTAAGAAAGAGAGGGAGAGGGGGAGCACAAGGGAGGAAGAGAGGGGAGAAAGGGAAGAAGGAAGGAGGGGGGAGGGAGACAAGGAGGGAAGGAGAGAGAAACAGGCATCATATGGGTCAATGAATTTGTCCACTACAGACTTGTGGGCACTCCGATAATGTTTTGAAGTGTTAAGTGCATAATAAACCCTCAACAGCAATTATGTAATAACAATGTATTCTTACTCCAAGCAAGTGTGCGTTATACTGCACAGGACTAAACGAGCTGAGTGCTGGACAGTGTTACCTCCTTTGGAATCATAAAACTGCATAGCTTCATCGAGGGGAAGGCAGGCAGGAAGGAAAGGCAAGGAGGAGAGGCACAAGAGGAGCACTGTTTTCTGTTTTCCAGGTCTCTTGTGAGGCGATGGCTTCTTCTGTGTGTGCCAAAATTGCCTGCCAGGCTTTATATTCTTGTGATTCTCAAGATAGCCACTAGATGACAGTCTTAGTCCATTCTGTGTGCTTCCCAGTCAGGTCTCAGCATCGAAAATGGTTGTTGTTGATCTCCCTAGGGAGCCTTATTCTCTTTGAGCTTCCTTGCCTGGCTGGGACTGGCTGTATCTGGGCATAGGGAACTCACTGGTAGATTATTGTCTACAAAGGACTTCAGCGTTGGGTGTGTCAGGGTTGTAGATTTCTGGCAAATCTTCAGTTTGTGGCACTGAAGAGAGATTGGGTGTGTCTTTATTGTTTAGGAGACATGAGAGGACAATTGCCATTATTTGTTTATAGTTAGAAAATCAGTTTCTTGATCCAAAGGTGGCTTTGCTGGGGGATAAGGGTGAAGGTGGAGCTGGTGGTGTTGCTGGAGCTGGGGGGGGGGGGCGGGGCTGGAGGGACTGAGGGTCTGGGGGGGCAGGCAGGGCTGGGAGGAACAGATGGTTGGAAGCATTATCACAAGCCTGTGATTTTGGAAAGGTGATGCTAAGCTCATTCTCTAGGCCTGGGAGGTAGGGGAAGGGGTGGAGGGAGGGAGAGGGGGAGGGGGACGGGGGAGTTAACTCCAACAACCATGTCATCCTCCATTGTCCACATATCTGCATAATAAACTCCATGTTTGGTTTAACCAGCCCAAATCCACTTGAGCTGCTCGAAGCTAAAATCCACTGTGTAAAACAGATGTGAAGGCTGATGTGTCCATGACAAGGCCCAGGCCTCTCTACATCTGGAGCAGTTCTGTGTAGCAGGGGTCCACCTTTTATAGATGAGGTAAATGTGTTCAGCAAGGGAAAAGTACCGGGATCTCACAGATGTGCAGAATCAGAGTCAAGATTCCAGTGGGAGATGTGTTGCTCTACAGCCTGTGATCACTGTAGACTCCACCAAGGCAGGGACACTGCCCATCAGACCCACCACTATTTCCTCGTTACCAACACAATGCCAGCCTATGCCTGGTGCTCGATAAATACTATGAATTAATGAGTTTGTGAAAACACCATGTTCTATTGCCTTGCGAAGTGACAAGCTTGTGGCTTCTCTGGGGCTAAGTGCTGAGTAAATGGCGGATGTTGTTGTTCAGGTTCCTCAGCATCACACACCTGCTCACTCCAGCTTCCCTGTGTATCCTGACCTTTGCTAACTACCATTTGTAATTGAGTTAACTCCCTAGACTTTGGTAGGTGACCTTGAACAATGGCTACTGTCATGTTGGCACTTGCTTTCTTGGGTTCCGGGTTCCAGGCTGCAGTGGCAGCTCAGGCTGGCCTCTATCAAAGGAATCTAGAATCAGAACAAAGTCTTCAGCCATACAATTGGCCAGCCTCTTCCCAATTCTGAGCAGTGGCCAACTTCCTCTGCTTAGAGATGCTGGGGTTCTCACTTTAGGCCAGGCTGATTGCTACAGTTTGTGATAAAGCCTTGATCTTGGGCTGGTTACATAACCGAAAGGTGATTGATCATGCTAATTGTCATCAATGGCTTAATTAATTTGGAAAACACAGAAGTCTGAATTAGAAGTCATGTAATGGGAGCCAATAGATTTGCTAATATAGAATTGTTTTTTTGGGGGGTGGGGGCCTCGAGAAGAAACCTTGCTCCCATCACATTCCTCCCTTCTGTTGAATGATTGTCTTATTTTTTTCAAAGATAAAGAAGGAATACTTGAAGGTGCAAATGAACTAATTGATACCAATGCATCAGACAAAACCGCTTGCCTTCTATGCAATCCCAGGTTGATTGTCTAGGTAGACTATCCTTGGCAAGAACACCTTGAACACTTTGTGTGAGACTGCTAACTTTAGATACTATTGTAGGAACAGAGGGGAAAAAGCCTATCTGGCCTCTTTTCTTTTTAATTAAACACCACTTGTGTATTTAAGACCACTAGACTGGAAAATAAAGCTGTTCAGGCATGTAGTAGCCCCACAAAACAGTTAGATGTTTCCAGCATTAATTTTGCAGGGATCTGATCAGTCATTCATGAAGCCAGCAACTCCCAAGCCCCTGCTTTGAGTCGGATGCTGTGCACAGAGGCACTGGGTCAAATCCATGAATAAGACAGATTTAGAATGTGCCCTGGAGGAGTTTGGAGTTCAGGAGGAAAGAGACACATTGGTGAGAGATGAAACAGTATAGCATCTTGGGATGGCAGCAGAAGGCACGCTACAGGTGCGTTAGATCACTCCTTTGGTGTCAGTCGCTGTGCTGGAGACAAACCTGGGTGTCTTTTCTGGGCTGTGTGCTACCTAGCTTGAGTGTGGTATCTTGGGGGCTATTTGAAGATGCCTTTGGCAGGAGGCAGGCAGCCTGGGCAACAGCAGCTACATGCAGCTGCAAAGAAGCATCTCAATATTTTAACAGCCCAAGACCACCAGACTGGAAGGTGCCGGCTGGATAGTTGTGGCAGAATCTGGATCAGATCAGGCGACAGGATGGGCTTGCACGACAGAAAGATACTTAAACTGAAAGCTGAGGATAGAATCCAAGACCCGTGTGGGTATTCTGGGAGAACTGAGTTCTAGGGGATGTCTTTGACATAGAGAGAAGCATGTGGGCATATAAGGCCCCAGACTTGGGGAGAAAGCAAGGCTCAGTCAAATTCAATCGTTTTTGACACAGGGTGTGAGGGGAATGAGCTTGGAGAACATCCTGATTTCATTTCTGAGCCTGTGATAAAAACAACCCCAATGAAAACACAGAGAGTGTTTATTTTAGCTCCCAGTTCCAGGCTACAGTTCATCATCATTCCAGGAAGTCAAGGTCAGAACTTGAACTGACAAATACACAGTCAGGGAGAGAGAATGGCACACATGCCTGCAAACTCAGCTAGATTTATTCACAGAGCCCATGAGAGGATGTCACCCACATTCAGGCTGGGTCTTTTGACCTTATTCCACACAACTAAGAAAAAAACCCAAATTCTAATAGGCCAGTATGATCTGTACTATTTCTCATTGAATTCTCTTCCCAGGTGAGTCTAGATTGTATCAAGTTGACAACTGAAATGGATCGCCACTGAGAGGTGACCTGGGGTTCTATCACCAGCATCAAAAAGGGTTGACACTGGGTGTGATGCAGGCCTGTTACAGCCAGGAGGCTGAAGCAAGGAGATGGATTTCAGTCCAGCCTGGGCTACAGATTATGATCTTGTATAAATACATATTTTAAAACAGAAGATTGAAGTGTGAAACCTTAGTTTGGTGGAAATTAGATTTTGATAACTCTGTGGAATAGCTGGTTGGAGCAGAAATTCAATTTAATATTAATAAACTCAATTCTCCACTTTATAAGATCAAGGGAAGGAACCAGCAGAGAAGGGTTTCTGGGCCAATGGTGTCCTTTATCTTTGGGGACTGCATTGATATTCTCACTTTCAGAATCTTCTCAAAGGTGTCCACAGGTATCTTAGACTCAAAGCGTCTGAATCTGGCATCCCAGCCTGCCTCTCCTTTACTTCTTTTATGGTGCAAATGGCAACTCCATCCTTCCATGGTCAGTGCTTTCACTGAGAAGTCACCTTTGATGCATGCCTCCATCAAAAGCCACATCCAGCACATTGCCCAGTGTGTCTGGCTTTGCTTTTGGTATATAGCTAAAGCCCAGTGTTGTCCACCTCCCTTCCCCTAGAACCACCTCACCCCATCTGTATTGTCACCCATTGTCCTCTCTTGCTCTTCTGCTGTCTGTCACCCACCCGGAAGTCAGTGATCATTAAAAAACTCGAGACAGGTCACACTTATGCTTAAGCCTTTCCTTTGGCTGCACACCTCACATACAGCAAGAGGAAACCACGTAGACAACATCTGCAGACTGTGCCATCCAGCTCCTGGTCACCCGTGGCTTTCTTGTGCCTCTGTTCTCTACCCCAGATCGTCAGTTACTGTCTGATCTCACCACAATGACCACCTTGCTTCTCCTCAAAGATAGCAAGTAGGTCCCGCTGCAGGTCCTTTGCGTGTGCTGTCCCCTCTGTCTGCAAGACCCTGTTTTTTAAATGACTGCATCGTCTTTGTCCTCTTCTTTTGGGTCAGTGTTCCACGCCAGATGCTCTGATTAAAACAGTGACATTCCTCAGCCACTCCTCCTTGGATGTGTTGTAATCTGTAGCATTGTTCCTTTACGTAGCAAAATAATACGTTAAATAATGCCATGGTAACAAGTACTCAAATAGATTGCAATGTAGGGGTTAACCAGCTTATACTGGCTTCTGAGGGCCAATTGTTTAATTTTCAGAAAATTTTCATTTTTTAAAAAGGCTAAATGAAATAAATGATAATTACTATGCATTGCTTCTTAATTATTCTACCACTATTAAATTATTATTGCATATTACTGTAATCTATACCCTTACAGGTACTTATGCCTGCTGTGTCTGTGTGAGAAAAATACTACATTGTGTTAGTATGCAGTGCAGCTTTACTTAATTCAAGACTAGTGATGGTGCATTGACCATCTTGTTTGCACACTGCTATAGTCAGTAAGAGAAAATCAGGTGTGTGTGTGTGTATACTTAAAGTGATGAAATAAATATTTATAATGCACATTAAATTTCAAAGTAGGACATGTCTGCACCCATTACAATGTGACTAACACACACAGAGACACTGACTCACAGGTGCGTGCTTGTGCTGGCGTGCACACTCACACACACACACACACACACACACACACACACACATTTGAAAAATTAGCCAAAAATGCATACCACAATCAGAACCGAAGCTCAGTTCAATGAACTTGTTCACGGCCATTGATACATGAGTGGTGCTCTGAAATTTATCCTTCATGTTTCTCACTTTCGCTTGCTTAAATAAGTGTGATGGTTGGTTTGAGCTATCAGCTTGACTGGAGTATGAGGTTTCTAGGGTTGATGGAATGCATCTGTGTGTTAGGGAGGTGTTTCCAGAGAGGACTGGACAGTGACTGCTAGGAAAAACCCAAGTTGCAGTGGAAGAATCCTCGAGTGGGCAAACAGCTGGAATGAAGTGGGGGAGAGCAAAGAGGGCATGCCAGCATGGCTCCTTCTTTTTTGAGTGACTGTGCCTCCTGCTGCTGCATGCTTCTCCCAGACCCCAGCTTCTTTGACTTTTCAACATGAACGCAACACCTGAGACTCTCTAGGGAATCTGTCAGCATTGGACTGGGATAGCTGAGCATCCTGCTTCCTCGATTAGGCATCTGGTTCTCTCCTCCTCCAGTGTTTAACTTTGTTAAGACTACCCAGTCCCTATTTCACTATTGTGTAGACTAATTCAATGAATTCTCTCTCTCTCTCTCTCTCTCTCTCTCTCTCTCTCTCTCTCTGTGTGTGTGTGTGTGTTTGCATGAGAGAGGGGTGGGAGAGAGAGATTCTCTTAGATCTAGAGAACCCTTCCTAACACAAGTAGGCAAATCAATCAATATTCAGATTGGAAACACACCTATTTATGAACTGAAACTATAGGTTAACCATGCATACACAACTTCAACTTCAACACAGATGAATTAAAGAAATCTCTATCAACAGGGTGTCAGCAATTTCTATACAGTACAATGTACCTCATTTTCACATTACACCCTTTATGTCAACAAGATTGATGCTAAACCTATGTATATGCCCTCCTACACTGATCTGTTCTTAACCATTTGGGAGCCTGTTTACGTAATATATATATATGTATATATATATATATGTCATGCCCATCATGGGTCTCCTGTTTGCATTCCTCACTCTTAGCACAGGGTCATGATGCCTGCAACTCTGCTGACTGCTATACTGGGGGAAGAAAGACATGAAACAACTCTATCTAGGTATGCCACACATTACTTGTGCTTATATTTCACCAACTAAAGCAGGTTATACCTACTTTGTGAGCAGAGTAGTACAAGGCCACCATGTGCCTGGAAGGAGAAAAGTAGAATGAGAGTGTTGATGAATAATCCTGATAGCCACCACATTAGCGTGTGTGTGTGTGTGTGTGTGTGTGTGTATTATTCTCAAACATAAATGTACATTCCACCAGAGGTGATTTTATCTGTGTGTGTGGTGTGTGTGTGTTATTCTCATATGTAAATGGACCTTCTACCAGAGCTGATTATGTGTGTGTGTGTTATTCTCATATGTAAATGGACCGTCTACCAGATATGATCGTGTGTGTGTGTGTGTGTGTATGTTATTCTCATATGTAAATGGACCTTCTACCAGAGCTGATTATGTGTGTGTGTGTTATTCTCATATGTAAATGGACCTTCTACCAGAGCTGATTATGTGAGTGTGCCTGTGTGTGTATGTTATTCTCATACATAAATGAATCGTCTACCAGAGCTGATTGTGTGTTTGTGTGTGTGTGTGTGTGTGTGTGCCTCTCATACACAAATGTACCTTCCACCAGAGCAGATTTGCTCACCACTACATCTTGGAAAAACTCCATACTTTAAGTGGGTCTGAGAGGAAAATAAACTTGGAGGCAGCATTGGGAAGCAGCTCTTTTGGGTCAATGCAGACAGTCTTCATTGCATGTCTCTCTTGCCCAATTCTGGATAAACTGAGCTTTTCTTCCCCACCTACACCTGACATACACAGCTGGGAATCTGTGGAGAAAGAAACACAGTTGCATGGACACGGTATTAGGATGGAAAACAGAAGAGGTCCAAGACCACACCCCCGAAGATGCTTGATCTCATCAGAATAAGCAAGTGAGGCAGCCACCTTGGACACAAAATGAAGATGTCACCCTCAGATTTGTACAAGGGCCAAGTAATCCCTGAACATGTTCCTGCTTATATTTTATGCTCTAGGAACCTCTCTTGGTTCACTGTCATCCCGGCCTTGCAGCCTGGGCTCCTTCAGGAACTGCCCCTACTCCATAGTTTAATGGACACTTCCAACTGCAGAAGTTGTTTGCAGAGAGCCAATTGGCAGCAGATGCAAGAGAATCCCGAGTTTGCACTCTACCTGCTTTAGCAAATTCCCAGGGATGAATGATGTCTTCAAAGGCTGACAGGCAGAGCAAGAGAGAGGGAAACATCCATCATTCTGGAAAATGCCCTGTGCATTCACCTCAAGGTTGCGATTGTGAAGCTCCAGTATTGGCTGTTATTATAACTAAACCAGATGGTGCTGCATGTCAGTGATGCCAACAGCATTGATTCTTATTTATTTAGTTCTTACAATGAGCCAAGAAAACTCTCTCTCTCTCTCTCTCTCTCTCTCTCTCTCTCTCTCTCTCTCTCTCTCATAAACACACACACATACCACGTGTTTTTTTTTCTGTTTTGTTTGAGACATGGTCTTACATCGCAGCCCAGGCTCACTTGGAAATTACTATATTGTTCAAACTCAAGGCAATTCTCCAGCCTCAGACTACTGGATACTAGGACTATAGACCCAAGATATTATATGTGTCTAAGACAAAATGATATTACTTACTAAGTCCTAAAACAATAGTAACCACAAACCCCACCCTAAAACCAACCAACTCACCACAAAACCCAAAAACTAGAATACAGGCATAGCCACAATTATTCAAACACAACTCTCTCAATGAACAGAAAGAAATCCAAGTTTGACTGTAATTGTTTTTTTTCTTTCAATTTTATTGAACACAAGTATTCTGACAGAATGCAAAGTCAAAATTCTCAGTTAGTACTCAGTATTTACAGCAGTGAGAATGGAAACAAAGGTGGTGTTGATGTTTCACTCAGTAAAAAGTTTTATAACAAGAGAGAAGGCCCCCGAAGTACAGAATGCTGGGTAAGGATGTTAATGGAGGTGTGGTCACCACCATCCAGACAGACAGCTGAGGGGGGGTGACATCCTGGGACGTGGAGGTTCCATAGAAAAGAGAGAACACAGAGTCCTACTGAATACATCCTGGGACGTGGAGGTTCCATAGAAAAGAGAGAACACAGAGTCCTACTGAATACACCGTGGCCCTTCAGGATTGGGAGACCCCACTCATGGCACCTGGGTAGCCTTCCCACAGAACTTGGGCATGCTGGTCTTTATGTGATACATATGTATGCCATATAGACATAGGACACATTGACAATGAATCTGGTCGAGTCCATCCCTCCTTCCAAAAATTAAAAAAAAAACCACACACACAAGGAAAACTGTTCATCTCTTCAGATAAAAGATAGAATGTGTGGGAAATACATTGACTCTTTGATTTTAGAGAGATTACTTATTTAAAAAAAGGAAGAAAGGAAAACTCATGCATGATGAGACAAACATATGTATATAGAGAGAGGCAGATCAAAGCGTGGGCTGTCTGATTCCAGCAAATGGTACGGCCAGTGTTCGGGAGGTCAGCCACCCTGGGCCAGGTTATTCTGGGGTGGTTTTGTCTCGTCCTAGTCATCAGAACTGAACTCAATGTGTTGAACCACAAACAGAGTGAAAAACACCATTTCCAGAGGAGGTCAGTGTGCCCTTGGCCTAGCCGTCAAGCCACTGACTTCATACTATGGGACACAGATGACACCGGTCAGGCTATGGCTAGAGGAGTCTGATCCTCACTGGGACCTCTCTGCCTCAGGTGTTACCCACCTCTCCCATTCTGCTGTGTGCCCTCAGAGTCGCCTTCCTGATAGCTTGTCCCGAGGACCTGTTAAACATGTGTCTGTGCAGGCCCCGGGAAGAGAAGGGCCAGGCTGAATGTTCTGGAACCCTCCATTTCCATCCCCAGGAGCTGAGAAAATGCAAAATAACCCCACATTGAGTAAATGACAAGACCATTATTTTTCACAGTTTGAAATTATAATCTAGCATCGCCACTGATCACACTGCAGAAGTGTCAGAAAATTGGGGTGTGTGGCCCACAAAGTGGACACAGAGACCATCTGCCACCCTAACCTCTTGCTGCTTTGTACTCGGGAAAGGAACCTGTGCTGTCGGATGGACGCCTGTTGGCTTTAGTGTCCCCTTCATCAGCATCACCTGTATTTCATTTTTCTTTGTTGAAAGGCTTTGATTCCTTTTGACATTTCGGGTTTTTGTTTCCTGAATAGCTTTTTTTTTTCTGAACTATCTGCTATACCTTCCACAACCAAACTATGTTGAAGTTTTATTTCAATACTATGACAAAAACACGTTTCACACTAAAATATTCACGCATCCACAGTGTACAAGCTTGCGGTTCTAAAGCAGAATGAAAAACAAAAGCAAAATTTCTATACAAAGGGCTGGCTTTTCCCTTCTCCCCCCTCCCATCCCCCTGAACGTTTCTGTATTTTTCCCCCACACTTGGTTTCCGATCCAGGAAAGTTGTATTATAACTCCAGACAGTATTTGTTTTTACAAATGTTGCCTAAGTGAACAGAAGGCCGATGTCACTTTACTTCAACAGATTTCCAAAAGGAGACACTACTTCCCTGAAGCACACGTGCTCTTCCGCTCAAATCTAGATTCTGGGCTCAAAAGGAAATGACATGTATATATTTTATTTGGCTTTCTAAAAAAAAGGGGGATGTTTGGGGTAAAAAAAAAAAGTGTGTTCACCAAGACCAGCCCCAACTATACAATCTTCTCTGCTTCATTCAACAAAGCCAAAGGAGTCCTTCAGAGGAAGGGTGTGCAGACACCTGGGAGGCAGGTCCAGCGTCTCAGACACAGGCAGGCGGCAGCTAATCTGAAAGTGGTCTAACATCCCCCTCTCCCCCTAAGAAATAATAGCAACAGAACCAAACAGGAAAGAAAAAGGCAAAATCGTTCCACAAGGAGAGGGCTTTCACCCCGCTTTGACACAGGTAAAAACTGCAACGAATCAGAATTGGTGGGGGGTGGGGGTGGAGGGGTAGACCCACTGTAAACAATCATCTTTTGTAACCTTCGCCCTGTGCTAAAAGCAACCAGGGGTGATTCTGCCTGCCTCTATGGGGGTACTTGCTGCTCAAAAGGAAAAAAAAGGCAGCTATTTTACACAGACATTAAACACAACCGAAGTCAAACATCTGTCAACTTGTAAACACTGGAAAGCAAAGTTGGAAGAGAGGAAGAAAAGGAAAGAAAAGGAACAGTGGGAGAAAAAAGCAAAAGAAATCGAATAAGCTGCGATTTGGCATTCTTCCTACGGAACAGGAGTCTACATGGGAACTGAAGGCAGCTAGCTAGAGTGCCACACTTTGCATACCGAACAAATACAAAGTGAACAGAAAGTATAACTTCTTTGTGAGGTTCTACCGAGTCCCAACTTGACTAAAAGTATAAAAATAAACTGCGGACTTGGTTCATTCGGTTAGTCTGAGTTCTTGGAAGCATTTCTCTGAAACTGATCTGTGCCAATTGGGTAACACCAATTGCAGCCTTCCCGAACCTAGATTTGTCTTCTTTTTTTCTTTCTGAGCTTCCTAGATTCTTAATTTGGGGTCCTTTTGTTCGATTTTTAAATGGTTTCAGGGAACGGAGTGTCCTACTTTGGCTGTGGGTTTAACCTTTTTGTCTCATTTTTTTTAGAAGTGAGTGTGCAACAAAGGAGCCCTTTCTAGAAACCTACAAAAAGGCGATCCCATGTTTATCTGTTTTTTTAAAGGCAAGACACTAGAGGAATGAGTGTGTGTGTGTGTGTGTGTGTGTGTGTGTGTATGTGTGTGTGTGTGTATGTGTGTAAGAGAGAGAGGAAGAGAGAGAGATTTGGGGATGCTCTGGTGAAGCCGCTGTGTCACTTTATTTTGATCTTTGCTTGTTGCTAGGTACCCATCATGCTTTGCTCTCATTCTCTTTTGTTTGTGTGGCATCATTGGGGACCGTCTTGACTTCAGTTGGTGCTGGCTTTGCTTCTGACTCCTGGGACTCCGACTTTGCTTCTACTGGACCCTTCCTGAAGAGAAACAGAAACAGTGCTGCTGAGATCACAGTGTCCCACTCTGTGAATACTGCCCCTCTCCCCAAGCCTTGTGGGGGGCTTCAGTTATAGCTCTGACATCCAACCTCCAAAGCAGGTTAAAATCACCTCAGAGTTCTCCAAATGACTCATGCCTGGGGCATGCTCCCAGAAATCCCGGGTGCCATGATTTTAAAAGCAACCAGGTGATTTCAAGGTGCAGGTAGGAGGAAGTGATCTAGTCTTCTCCTCCTTTCTTGATAGTCCTCGGGGGCTCTGTGTTAGTTAACCTGGGACAGGAGAAGAGAAGATCCCCTCTCTTCCCCCTGTCAAGCAGAAGTACAGCAGCTCAGCTTGCTATAAGTGGGGTGTACCAGACCCTGCTTTGAGTATAGTTCCAGGGACCCCTATCATAAACCACCTCTCCCTTTCCTGCCCCCAACTCTTCATCCCATGCTGTTTCAGGATGGTGACTATGGTGGCTTGAATAGGGTGAGACAATATGGATACCAGAGTTGGTAAGAGGCTAGAGTGGGCCTGCTTGTTACAAGGGACTGGAAGGGACAGCCATGTTTATAAACCTCTATAAAAGCCTAGGCATGCCTCCATCTCCGTAGGTCTCACAAGACAGAGTCAAGCCTAAAGACACACTGCAGCAAGTGTAAATACCAGATGACCCCATTGCATTTAGCATCACACTTAAGAATTCTGAAGGTTGAGCACTTGAACTTGGAGACAGGCATTGAGCGAGAGTCTTGGGTAGGGGTGGGCCTTCAGTCAGTGTGTGACAGAGCAGTCTGGGGGCTGCATCCTCCTTGTGCATGCACCTCACCATAGCTACCTCTTTTCTTCCCCAGGAGGACTTGGCCTGGCCCTGGATAGCACATACACACACACACACACACACACACACACACACACACACACACACACGCACGCACGCACGCACGCACCCACCCACGCACCCACGCACCCACGCACGCACGGGCCCAGGATGACAGATAAAGGCACCTTGGCCTCCTTAGTGCCTCCTCAAGCTCTGCTCACCAGTGGCCCAACTGCAAAGGCATCCCCAGGGAAAACAGAAGCATGGCTGGGATGATAAGGATGAAACATAATTAACATGGCCTAATTAGCGAGCAGGCAGCCCCTTTGCCTGTCCCACTGCCTGTCCCTGCTCCTGCCTGATTCCAGGCCCCTGGCTGACATTGCCCCACAGAAGCCCTGCAAGAGGCTGAGGACACATCCAACAAGGAGGATATAGCACAGCACAAACACACATCACTACGGACACAACCCAGCGACAGCAGACAAAGAGAGGCCGTACTCGGTCTTTGCTGGTGCAGGCGGCACAGCGCTGTCTGCAGTGGAAGGAGCAAGCTCAGAGGCTTGTCCACTGGCTCCAGTGGCAGGAGCAGGAGAGCCCAGGGCTGCAAAAACATCCTTTGCAAGGTCAATATCTGGGGTCTTGAAGTTCCCTTCGTCCATTTTTAAGTCCTCGCCCTGGGAAGGGTTTGTGGTGCTGGCGGAGGCAGCCTTGCTCTTCGGGCTAGCGGGGGCTGTGGCTGCCTCAGGTGGGTTCTTCATGGCGCCAGGCTGAGTGGGCTCTGGGTCCGGGCCTTTGGTGCTGGGGGCTTCCTGCTTGGCCTGGGGGGCTTCTGTGGCAGGGGCAGCTACTGCTGCTAAGGGGCTGGCTGCCCCAGCCGGGGTGGAGGTTGGAGCAGGGGACTGCTTACCAGCTGGAGGGACCTTGGAGGCCTCCCCTGCATTGACAGGGGTGCTGGGGCTGAGTACAGCTCCTTGGTTAGCCAGGACAGTGGAGGACAAATTGCTAGCAGAGGGAGTTGAGGTTGGGGTATCGCTCAGGTCAACAAGAGGAGCAACCTTTGGGGCCGAGGCTGGGGGTGAGGATGCGGCAGTGACACCAGACCCCTTGGAAGGGGTGGCCTGACCAGTGGGTACAGAATTTGAGTCCGGCCCAGCTGTGGCTGGTGGGGCAATACTGGAGGTCAGTGTAGTGGTCTCACTGGTGGGGCTGTTCTGAGCAGTGGCAAAAGTTTCGGTGATAGTGTCAGAGTTAGTGGTGACGGTGGTGACAGAAGGCAGCATGTCCTCGACAGTGGCTGTGGTGTCAGCAGGTAGCCTGTGGGGAGGACAGGAAGTAGAAAGAGAATAGACAATGAAGCTGAGACAGAGAAGCTAGATAGGAGCCAAGGAGAGGAGTCGCGGGTGGGCATGCAACCATACACGGGCAGGAACATGGGCCCACAAAGAAACGAGGACGAAGAGGAAGTACACGCCCCAGGTGGGCAGAAGAGGACACAGGAGACAACAAAGAACGTGGCAGTCTCAAAGGGACCTGCTAGCCTTCCTCCATGCTGACAGCCCCTCAGCTCTCTGTACAGGGCTCCAGTCCCCTATGGATCTCTCAAGTGTTCTCTTGTGCAACCCTGGATCTCCACTCCAGTGAAGGCAGCAGACGTCTATCATATACCTCTCTAGGTTTGTGGAGCCCTGTAGAAATGGGGTCCAGCTACCTTACAGTTATTTCTAAGCAGGGATGGGGCCAGATGAGGAGGATCAGTGCTCCAAATGGCTCCCATGTGTCAGGAGGTCTTCCAGCCACAGATGGGTGTTCCTGTGAGAAGTACTTCCTTCAGTCAATCAGACCCTTGATAGCCTGGCGGGCATGACAAACACGGCTAGTCAGGGATCCTGAGGATCTCTGAGATTTCTGATTAGAAGAGAGCCAGGGACCCTCATCCGGTCCCCAACTTTTCTGGCATAGAAGATATTTAAGAAACCCTAAACAAAATAGGCTAGTCCTCTTCTCAATGAATTTTAAGACATTCCTAAAATACGTGTGGAATTTTGGAGTAGTCCTGGGAACCCCACCTCTGTGAAGAACCTGGTAAGGCACCCACCATGACCCAAGGAGAAGCAAGAATGCCTTCTCTCCAAGGAGAGTGGGTTCAGACATTGTCTGGCCAGGAGATCTTCTGACCGAGGGCTCCAGAGTGGTGGCTTCCATGTTTGGTCAGGAGCCAAGGGTGAGAAGCAGGGGGAGGTTGGGATAGGGTGATGAGGTGGAACTGGGGGTCTACTGAGGAGGTACCAGTCCCTCCTACTCCACATACTCGGGCTCTGTCAGCGGTGTGGTCTCATTGGGCTCTGTGTGCTTCCCTCCGTCATGGTTTGGAGTCCGTTCCTCCTCTGTTCGGACCTCCACGATGGGTTCTTTGGACTCATCTTTCCTGTGGAGAGAGTTCTGCTGGTTAAACAGCAGGGTGGCTTCAGAGGAAAGACATCAGGAAAAGAAGCTGTAGCAAGGTGTATCAATGTCTGGCTTGTGGCTAGCAAAGTGGGCCAGATTACTGTCTCTGCGGCAGCCTAGCCAAGAATACATAAGGTCATCAGCCCTACCTCATTTCTCCCATCTGTTAGTTAGGTTAAGTAATAGTTTATAACTCAGCTGTCCATGAGAATAAATGAGATCATTCATGTAAAGTTTTTAGGACAGTACAGGTAAGTCTCCAAAGTAAACCCATGTGCACACATATGTATGCATGCATACCCATGCATTTGTAATTGTGCATACACATACATAAGCCCAAGTGCATGTATGTGTGTGTATATACACAGTTACTGGCATCTCATCTTCTCACTGCATCTTTTCTCAGCTTGCTACAACAGGCATGCTCACCCACAGACTTCAAAATCTCCTTCTAACTAGCTAAAGATGCTGCAGGAGGGAAGAATAGACAGATTGTTCCTTCCAGAGGACAGGAATCTACACTCGTTTTTCTCCCTTTGGCACCACACAGTCAGATACAGGGTCTTGCCCTCAGTAGCTGCAGGATAAACGCTCGTAGTAGTAAACGAATGAAGGAGAGTTTAAGTGCATGCTTCCTAGGATGGTTCCCTCCACCATCACTCCTCTCCAGGAGGACAAGCCCCCTCTCTTGACCCCCTCAGAGATTTTCAAATATTTACGAGATGTTAACCCTAGGGTGGATCCAAGACACTACATTCCAAACCGGTAACCCCATCTTGCCTTAAACCCAGGTTTAGAGAGATCTGCTTTGATGGTTTAACCGCTCTGGAGTTGTCATGTGGGTAAAAAATAAAGCTAAAGATAGCGCAGTGCTAGGCCCTGGGCTGGGGCAGGGCCTAAACCCCACAGATCCAATAGCTTTGCACTCACGAGAAAGCAGCCTTGCCCTCCTCCATGTCTTTCCCCTTGGCTCCAGGCCCAGCTTTGCCACACAGGTTAACAGCAATGCACATGAGCAGGCCACACTTGTTCAGGAAGTAGCAGGTGATGTCCATGACCACCAGGAGTAGGACGAAGATGACAATGAGGATGCCCACGATGGCGCCGGTGCTCAGGCCTGTGGTGGGGCTGCCATTGGCTTAAGTAGGAGAGAGATAGTCAGTGGTTAGTAGGCTTGTGTATGAGCCCCCTTACCCTACGGACAATATCCCTGTGGTTGGAGTAGGGCCCTGAGCATAAAACCAAGGCATTTGTGACTGGTGGTACCTTCCCAAGGGCCTTCTTATGCCTGGTGCAGAGACAAGAGGTCCTCTACATCTTTTAAATGTGGCATGATAACCTCATCTCACCCAGGAGACAGGGTCTGGGGGCTCCCACATATTAAGATGAAGAGGGGATTGTGAGCTGTGCCTTCATTCTTGTCCCCAACCCTGAACTTCCTCCCTAAGGCATATGCTCAAGTGGTCTTCATGAATCCTGGAAGCAGCTTGGGCCCAGACAGGCAGTGTTTGAGAACACCAAGTAATGGTGACTCCAGGAGGGCCCTGCTGTGTCTCTGGACCAATGCAAAAGGTTTTTTGGCCCAGTCAGGCAGAGGCTGCTTGCTGTGCTGTGCCTCTAGGCAGAATGACAGACAAGGGACCATATGGCGTTTCCAGGACTGCTTTGGGTCTTGTAGAAATATCAGGGCCAATATGTTGCCCAACATATGATTCTACTTCGTCTCCTCAATTGAAGAATAAGTCTAAAGGACACTAACTATGAGGGAACTGGGGTCTCATTTTGCCCTTTTTGTGTCCCAGGAGGCTGAATGTGACCCATGAAACTCCTGAGACACAGCAGCCTCCCCAGGCCCCACCAGTAAGGCGAAGGGTCTGGGAATACTCACCATGTGGGAGCCAGGCATGCTGGGATCAGACTTCAGGAAAACCTGTAGACTTACCCATATTTAAACATTCTCACAGACAGTCATACCCATACACAGGACAAACGTTCACCAAATTCACCCCGATAGTACCCAGCATCCTACTTCTGGCTGGGTTTTCTGTGTCTAGTTCCCCTGGTGTCCATCAGCAGTCCTCCAAGGCCTTGACTTATAGATTCTCTCACAGAAGGATCCTGGCCCTATGTGAACTGACATCAGTTTTCTGAGAGGGACCTAGTCATACTTGTAAACAGTGGTATTGTGGGAAGCGAAACTCTGAACAGAGTTCTGCCTATGGAAGCCATCGTGGAGACAATAGTCCCAGATTGACATATGGGCACTTCTCACTCATTCATTCATTTAAGTGCAACTCCATTCTATCATTAGACCTTGTCTGATATTTCCTATGCTCCCAAGGGACCTAGACTACCCAGGCCTTGGACTGGCTGCAAGAACTACAATTAACAGTACTTGTGAAGTGGCCCCAACTGTCTCCATAGTCAGTTGACTATACTTTGTCAACTTCTAAGCCTGTTCCAGCAGGTCATCCCTGGAAACTAGGGGAGGGAAGTGGTACTGCATGAGGGCTGCCATTTTCCTTTTAATAATATTGGAGTTTTGAGACAGGATCTCACTGGCTAGGGGCTCTGATCCTTTTGCCCTCACTTCCTGAGAGCTGGGATTACAGGTGTGCACCACCACACCTGGCCACCGTTCTTCACCCCTTGTGAAACTTATCTTCTGTCTGCACTAGGATGCCTGGCCCAGGTACCGGAGTGCTTCTCTAGGGGTTGTTTCACTGTTCCTAATTACAAATTTTCAGTCCAGAATGCCCAGAATACAGATGAAAGGGTACTAGAATCAGGAGACATTCACATCCTTGTGGGTGTGACAGAATAGTTTAGCCCAGGAAAACTACTAGGACAAGGTCTAGATCCTGTATCTCGTTGAACGGGTCATAAAAGGAAAAGCAAAAACAAAACGAAAAACTTGAAAACCTTTCAGACTTCTGTCTTCGTCATGCTCTTCCTCTTGCCCTCTGTGACAAGTCCATCTAGGTGCCTTACGCATAAAAAAGGCTTCTTAAAGGGCAACTTCCCCACATCCTCCTAGGTAAGAGCTGCCCTGAGCAGTGCCTGGCTGGGGCTGTCTCTCTTCTTTGGTTCCTAGCTTGAAAGTTTGGCATTCAAAGCAGTTTTGGCATTCAACTGGCTTGCTCCAAGGCTAACTCACATAAATACCCATTTTCCTTTAAATGGATCTCACATTTTCCAGGTACCCAGCTGGATCTGAGTCATTGTACCATGGCTCCCTAGGTGCTGAAGTCCTGGTGCCAATATGACTGTCAGGCTACCAGAATGGTTGAATTTCAGGGCTAGTTTCCTCAGAATCCCCTTCTATGTCTACTTGTTCCTTCCTGGAGCTGGCCATGCTTTGGTCAGTTTCTATCTATCATAAGATATATGGAGAAATGTTGCTATGTAACCATAATACCTTACTAGAGAGCTCTTCATCTGATGGAATGTGCTACCCCTGACCTCATCTTCAGAGTGACAATTTCCCCAATTTTGCAAAGACTCATTCCTCTCTCATTGTCTGCTGAGGATTCCCAGGTAACAGGAACCTGACACCTTCAAGATCATTTAGAAAAGCATAATGATTTTCATGGGAAAATGCCTTTGACTAGAACTCTCCTCACCACCAAGTGTGGAGTCTAATTTAAATGTCTGTCTTGGTAATCGGTTATCGAGTACATATGAGGTGTACTGTGTTGGTCACAAATGTCAAATAAAATCAAAACACGCTGTTGAGTTTACATGAACTGTTATATCCTTTAATAACACAAAGGTGTAAACTTCATAAAGTCTTGCTGATTATCTACACAATGACGTTAGCATTCTTATTAGTAGAAAAACATGATCTGAATCTGCTGTATAAATATTCTAAAAATGAGAAGAGAACCCTCACGGCAGATGGTGTATGGTCTGTACTGACTCACAGTGCAGAGGTGGGGGGTGAGCCCACCCCCTTGGGGCTACCTCGGGCTGCCCTCTTAAGGACTCCTGGCTGGGCTAGGAGCCATAGCCTTCACGGAGGGACCCAGTTTCTGGCCAGGGCTAGTGCACACTAAAGCTGTGTCCAGGAGAGTACACCATTACAAGTGGGCTGGAATAAGCCCAAAGTTTTCTAGCTGGGCCCTGTGTCTGGTAAGAGTACAGGACCACACTAGGGCACATTAGGGTTGATCTCCAAAGGTCCCTTTAGAAATAATCGACACTGTCCCTCTCCTGTGAGTGGGTTGGTGATGAGGCTGAGGCAGACTCCAAGTTCTCCAAGAGTGAATTCATGTGACATCTCTTTAGGGGATTGCAGTAGAACCTCTCTTGCCCTCTCTGCAGCTTTCCTTAACTGACCTGTAATTCTCATATCAGGCCCCAAGGCTACATACATGTCCTTTTTTCTGCTGTACTGTTGTCCTAATCCCAAGAGCCATCTTGTTGGGAAGATGGTGGGAAGGGGTCTTCCTAGCTGAGTGAGAGGCACTGTCAGTTTTAGCTTCTGAGCACTGTGAAGCCTCTATACTGAACACTGGGGATACTGGCAGGTGGCAACACAGTTGGCTTTGCCTGCAGACCACTATTCAGGGTCATTTGGATTCCCAAAGTGAAAGGCTAGTCTTTGAGCACTAAAAAGTAACTACAGAAATGAAATAGGTAAAGAACCGAAAAGAACATAAATTAAACGTCCGTGGAGATGTTCAGAGATGAGATAGGGAGAATGCCGGGGGGGGGGGGGGGAGTTTTTATTCATTAGGTCCATCCCAAAGTTCACACGCTGATACTAGTGGGTGGTATTTAGCCTTGGGTCTCATGCATCCGATGTGACACACCCATTTCCTCTTCTGGGTGAATTGCACAACAGCAGGCAGGAGTTCCTGGCTCTTCATAATAATTTTAAAAGTACCGTGGAGACCATTAGGGAAGCTGGATCATTCTGGAATTGCTGACAAGCAGACTGCCCAAATGTATTAACACTGTGGGGAGCAGTGTGTTCCCTCAATCCCTTACCTTGTGCTCTTTGGAGCATGCAGGGGGGGAAGGAGGGGAGGGTGCCTGATCATAGTGGATGCTTCCAACCTGCCTGGTATACTTCACTTAGGGTGATGATATAGATTCTGACTGGACCACAGACGCCAGGACCTGAGGTTTAGTTCTCATCTGAAGCATCCTACTGTGCAGTTGAAGAAAGAGCTCTCTCGGTTGGGAGTCAGATCCCAAAGCCCATTCCTATTGGGCACACCACAGTTTGGCCTTCTTCACAGAGACAGACGGCAGATGTCAGGCTAACCCCAGCAGTACAGCACCTTCCAGAATGTTCATCAGCTCCAGAAAACAGACTATTTCAACTTTTCCCACTGCATGGGTCACAGGGGGATTTAATTGGTCTATTATGTCAGCAAAGTGCTCAGATGGGTCACCACATGGGTACTTAAACACCTAACTACAACCTGGGTACTTAAATACTTAAATGCAGGCGAAGCTGACTCCCTATTGGAAGGTGGAGGGCAGGGCACAGTGTTAGAGTGAAGGGCACATGTGGTGACTTTAACAATCAGAGCCAAGCTGTAGTAGTCTAGAATTCTTCCTCTGCTGCCTTTATGAACAAAAACAAAAACACAAGTAACAGGTAGTAGAAGTATCTCTCTGTGAACCTTGCATAATGCTGTTTTTGAAAATAGCATTGAAAGAAATATCTCTCAAATTCTCTCTTTACTGCTATTAAAAAGGGGGGAGACTCTATACAAAATGACAGAAAAGTATCACTGAATGGCAAAATCTCAGGAGGTAAATCTGTTTCCAATCACCAAGACCTTCCTTGTTCACACAGAACACCTGCTCAGTAGCTGTGGCCGGACAACTGTAGTCCTGAAAGGATCTTTCAAGGGGGGGCAACTGATCATTTTCATAGGAACTGGGATTTTAAGCAATTATAATTTGTGTGTGTGGGTGTGTGTGTGTGTGTGTGTGGGCACGGGTGCGTGTCTGTGTGTTTTCAGGTTCCTAACAGAGCAAAAGAAAAGTCACCACAGAGAAAAGCAATGAGACCAAGGTGTAGGAGGTGGAACTTCCTCCCAGGGTGGCTGCAGGTGTCAAGCAATGAATCCCAAAGGATAGGTGGTTGTTGAGACATAAATGTGGCAGTGGGGATGTCCCAGTGACGTCCAAGGTGACAAGTGTGACGACGGACATAGGGAGGTATGGGGGAGGGGAGGAAAGAGAAGGCAGAGACAGAAACAGAGGAAAAAATAGATAAAAAAGAAAGAAAAAATAGGTCAAATATAGAAAAAACAAGAATCCAAGGTTAATTCAACTTAGTAAGTTAGGCTGACAAACGTTAGGAGAGTTCAGTGCTGTATCAACATCATAGGCCGGGTCAGCAGCTCAGCAATGCCAGAAGCAGCATAGCAGGTTAATTCGGGGTTGGGGCCAGCGAGCAAATGAAATTAAAGTGAGAGAACAGGAGCCTCTGCAGTAGAACAGCGGGTCAGGTCAGAAGAATGTTACCTATCACTAAGATGAAGCCTCCTAGGCCCAGCAATGAGTGTGCTCCTCTTGTGGCGAGGCTGAGATGCAGTGGGTGGCTGCACTATGGTCAGAACACTGAGGATGCGGGTGGTCTTTGGAGAGCCAAAGCAGACCTGTTTTTCTATTGTGCAAGCCCCACCATCTTGCTGGTGTAATCCTGAACATCCCACCTTCTATGACCCTACAGACCACAGAGTTCTACCACAAACCTCATCTTATAATGCAAAGAGGGTTTGTTCTTGAATTCCAATAAAATGACTAGGATAGTCCAAACAGAGCCATCTCCTTTAGTGCTTGGACTGCCGTCATAGAGTCATTGTGGACAAGGAAAGGACCTCCTAACCCTGTCTGGCTTACATGGGAGCCTGGATGATATTCTACAAGGCCTCCACAGGTCATGCACTCTGTAGCATTTCTCTTGCTCACATGGGAAAACTAGAAGGTGAAGTTGCTGGCAGTGCCCAGCCTAGGAACATAGCATGCCCATCAAGTTTCACCATGGGGAAGACTAACTTATGGACTGATGCAAAGGGTTTAATTTAAGCCTTACTAGTTCCAAATCCTAAGAGGCTGAAAGGCATGGATCTGGACACATATCACACTCTCAATTCCAAGGGAGAACTAACCAAAGAACAAAGGGAAGAAGGGACAGAGAAAAAGCAGGGCCACCTCTATTTGGACAACCTATTGAGACACAATGAGGGAAACTTCCTGTAGCCACAGCTAAGAAACTCCTTCTAGTACCAGGATCCTAAACTGAGCAAGAAAGCCCTCCCCATAGTGCAATCAACCAATTGACATGTCTAGTCTACGGCTCAAAATTCACCTGCCAACTGGCTGGAAGCCCCAACATCTCCCCTATCCCCCCAATACACACCCACTCATACACAAACAACTGTAAAGAATCTCACACCAAGATCTCCTTCAGTTGCTACCCACTTTGGCACATATGACCCTACATGACAGGCAGCCTGTCCCCTTTCTGGCCTGACTTTCCCCGGAAGGAGCAAGCTTGACAACTGAACTCAGCAGCGAAGTAAGCTCACCACACAGGGCAGGCAAGATGGGCCTGCCCCAGGCTGTCTTCCTACCACACCCGAACATTATAGAGCACAGAGGGCCATCTCCAACAGGCTGCATCTATATGCTCTATGACCACCTCTCCAGCCCGTGTTTGGCATTTGGCTGGCTCTGAAAAGGCAAAGTGATGGCTGAATCATCTCGGAGGAATTTGCCTAATTAGGGAACTGGCGACTAGCACAAGATATCTAGGTCAGAAATCAGAGCTCTCACTTTATTCCCACACTTGAGTTGGTCCTGGATCCTATAGACGAATCTGCATCTCCTAGGAGCACTGCTGCTACCATGGTCTAGCAGACTGGCTGCCCTTCCATTGATGGTACTTCCCAGGATCTATGTTTTCCACTTGCTCCATTCCAAGATGATCAATTTGTCTCTAGCACAGTGGAGAGGTCCTTCATAGATAGGTATTATCTAACTGGGCACCATCTATTCCTTCTCTTGGGGTGACCCGAGAGAAGACAGTTAGACCATGGTTGTACAGCTAAAGCAAAGTTCACAAATAAACAGCATAAAACCAGTTTTGTGGTCCTAGTATAGAATGCAGATGACAGGGAAAGTCTCATCAAGGATCCTTGTTCAACCAGCATCCAAGGCAAGGCAGGAGTTGGGGCATTTTCCCATTGGAGGGAGTCCCATAGACTGGTTAGCATTGATATTTCAAGGCCAAATAAGACAGGACCCTTCCCCCAGGATGCAGGTAAGACTCTCCTGGGGGGTCTTGTACGTCAACCCACTGCATAGATGGGGCTAAGGCAAAACTAAGCTTGGCATGAGCAACCAGTCATGAGGATGGCTGTAAGCAAGCAAGTTGTCAGGGTTGTTCAGGCGCATTAGGAGGCGCGGCATGTGTGCATTAATTTAAAGCGGGAAACAGACAGAAAACACAGGTGGCTGTACCTGGGATGGCTGTGGGCTGGGCTAAGGTCTTGAACACAAAATGAGCTGCCTTGGATTTTCCTTGCTGATTCTCAGCTACCACAGATACTTCATACTCGGCGTTCCAGTCCAGGGACTTGAGCATGACGTGGTCACTGCCGGAAGGGAGCCGGATTTCTGGTTTCCACTCAGAGGCAAGCTTCTGGGGACAGTCGGCAGGAAGGACAGAAGACACCAGGGAGTTTGAATGAGAATGCTGGAGAGACCGAGACCGACTAAGAGGCACAGACTAAGGGGAACTGAAAACCATGGGGTTAAAACATAAAAATAGGCCGGGCGGTGGTGGCACATGCCTTTAATCCCAGCACTTGGGAGGCAGAGGCAGGCAGATCTCTGTGAGTTTGAGACCAGCCTGGTCTACAAGAGCTAGTTCCAGGACAGCCTCCAAAGCCACAGGGAAAGCCTGTCTTGAAAAAACAAACAACAACAACAAAACTGTAAAAATAGGAACCAATGAGGATTTTCTGTACTGGGGATCCACCTAGTAGGCTTGCCCACATCAACAGTAAGGAATGTCAGTGTGACATGGTTCTGAGTTCACTGTCCCACCAACCTCAGGACTGACAGGGGTTCCAACACTGTCCTGCACCTACCCTATCTCCTCTATATTCTGGAATGCTAGATACATGGCATAAGGGCTTCTTAGAGGAGTTAAAACAAATGTTTCTCATTTTATTTTAGAATGCTACCCACATTCTGACAGGCAAATATTGCATAGATTCCAATTTTACTAAAAATACAAACCACTATCTCTTCCCAATGCAAACCTTCTGGGAATCACTTCAGGCTCTTACTAGATCTGATTATATGGGCATGAGTAAGGGGTTAGGTGACTTACAAAAGTCACCCTGCAGTCAAGGTTGGAGTCTAGCCTGTGCAAGTACCAGACTGCATTTTCCCTTCCATAACAGGGAGCCCAGCAAACATGAGTTGAACTGAACTTGATTTTCTATTCCCTGTTGTGCGGCCTGGCCTTATTGTGGCTGAATAAGCGAGGGATGTTCATTGGGCTCACATGGACTATCCTGTAGTGCTTAGCAGAGCATAAGGAGAGATGCACAATTCTGGAGTTTTCCCCCCTTTTCACCCAACCTTCCCTCTAGGTATATCATCCATGCTTGCCAATGGGCTTGTACTGGAAGGAAGTTTCCAAAGCCATTGCTAGGTAACCACCTGCACAACAAAACTGTGGGAGAGGCCTCAAGTCCTCCTGAGAAATCTTTAGATGGTTTTCTAGTTGCAAGTCAAAATCTCTGGTCCTATCAAAAGCCATATACACCTTGGGTACATGCTGAGCACCTGTGTGTGTGTGTGTGTGTGTGTGTGTGTGTGTGTATGTGTGTGTATGTGTGTAATATGTATTGAATAGGCAAGCAAAACATGGCAATGGTGTCAGGAAAGAGATGACCATTGCAGGTCCTGGTGTGGTCACCAGGAGCTGGAGGAAGACATTTTATGGGGTAAAGCTATTCTGATCAGCCATGAAGATGTCTTCAGTGCTCATTCCAGGGCTCCTAGTGTTGTGGGAAATTGCACAGAGGGGATTCTAGGGCCCTATAATCTAAACAGGCAGCCTGGGCTGTGCAGTAAGTTAGCTCTGCACATGTTGCTATGGTGCTGTTTTAATTTAAAACAAAGATGCTGGGCTGTCTCTCTTTGCTCTTCTTTCTCTGTCTTCCTCGGCAAACATCATTACAAAAGAGACAACCAGACGAGGAAGCAAACACTCAGGAAAGCAAACTTTATGCTATGTAATACATATTAATAATGAGCAATTGCATTTAGCAAACAAGAAGCTTCAAAGTGGAAGGGGATAGTTAAAGTCATTGAAATCTAAAATAGCTCTGTGTGTTAAAGACAGTTGCAGTGACAGGTCAGGCAAATAGACCTTGAGGTTGTCTTCATATGGGAGAGATTTCTATCTGGGTCCTGTATCCCAGTTACTATTTACAGTGGCTTCAAAGTGTCTGGGACATTTTGAGATCCCCACATATATTATAACTAATCTGGCAGCTGAAGTTATTTTATTCCCATTTTTCAAATCTAGAAAAGGAGGCTTGGGAAGATGAGATTATCTGTCCTTCAGATCACATGCTGCCAAATGGCAGAGCTGGAACTTGGTGCCATTCAGGCTCATAATTGCCAGAGGCATCCACCCTATAGTAGTACCCACTCCAACTAGGTTGTTTAGGGCCACCTAGCAAGTCTTGACATCCTTCCCTGTAGTAATGAAACTACAGGACCTCCTATATAGTAGTATCTCTGGGCTGACTCTTAAGGAAGTTTACTGAGGCTTCTCCTACTATGCCAGCTCAGAGACAACTCCTCTGAGAATCAGCTGGGATAGCTGAGTAGACAAAAGTGTGTCTGTCCATGTCATGCTCCCACCCCCTTGCTGCAAGGTGTGCATGCCTGCAGGGCTCTGTGCTGGACCCCCATGCCATTACCGTGGGAGCTGTCCCCACGAGAGTTAGGGATGAGCAAACTTCCCGGAAAAAGCCTTATTTGGGGCTTCATGGAGAAAGCAAGCTGCTCTCTGGTCCATTACCTCCAACTACTAAGAAATCTCAGGAACAGGTTATTTCCAATACCCAGCGACACCGCCCCCCAACTACTTGCCAAATGCCATTCTGAAACTGAAACCGTTTGGGGTGGGGGTGGGAATGAAAGATGGACTATTAGAGATCTTAGGTAGGTGGTCAGTGAGCCTTTGGGGAAGCTCAGAGTCAAGCTGATTGTTAGCATTTAGCCCAGATGAGATGCCTGGGAGAGCAGGCAGGGGCTCCAGCTCCCAATCTTCAAGTCAGGAAGAGCCTAGGCTCCTCAGCTAGATGGGACTAGATTCAAACTCGGTCTCACTCATATGGGTGAGAACATCAGTTACTGGCTGTGGTAGCTGTCTAGTTGAGTTGTTTCATCTGTAATTCGGGGGAATAACTGCAGCACTGTAACACCCACTTCATAGGGTTTTATGCAGGAAATATGTCTGGATACAGCACTTGGTTCAGGAGACACACTATCAAAAGTAGTGACTGTTAGAAGGCAGCATGACAATTTTGCACAGAAGCCCTGGATTATGGAAAAAACACTTTGTAGAAAAACTGAAAGAATCAGAAATATCATGGTGATATTCTCACCATCCCAATCATAGTAGAAGTTTTCAAATGGTCCCACTGTGGGCGTGGCCTAACAGCTGTAGGTTAGTCTTGGGACTGAAAACCTTGGCCAAGTTCCATGAGTCTCCTGCAAGTTGCCCAGTGAGAGCCTGTCCTAACCTCGCTTCACTTGGCATTCTCCAGCTCTTGGTCCAACAAGGTAGGTGTCAGGGGCCCAGGGTAAGGAAAGGGAGTCTGAGGATGGAGGCTACTCACCGCTCGGTACTTGACCAGATAGTGTCTGATTGGGGAGCCTCCGTCATCCTGCTTGATCAGGTTCACCTTGATGGAGTTCCCATCCTCTCCCATCTGCCCTTCCAGCTTGGGTGCACTGGGTTCCCCTGAAATATCCAGTAAATTCCCATGAAATCTGGGTCCATGGAATGAGAAGTGGGATGGAGTGATGAGGTGGGGTTGGGCACTTTTCTTGCTTTTTTCAGAAATTCAAATGGTTAAAAAGCAATGAATTTAGAACTCTGAACCCCACTAGATTGCCTCATTCAGTCTTAGCTGAGGCTGCTTTCTGGGAATGTTCTGGAAAATACTCCTTACGAATACAGTTCTTTTCCTGCCTTTCACCGGTCCTCACATTTCCTCCCCCACCTCTGCAGGTTTGATTTCTATAAACCTGACATATCTTGACAGAATGCCTGAAATATGTAAGAACGTCTCAATAGGAAATTTTAAAACATGGAATTACTTTTCAGAATAGCCCTGTGTTTTTATCCCTGGGTACATCATAACTCACTAGAGTCCCAAGGGCTTGGTCACTGATGGGAGTGAATGATGCGGTATTCTTGCAACTAGCTTTTTATGAATTAAATTTTATTGCTTAGGATCACTTAAAAATACGTTTCCAATTGTGGCTAAATAAAACACGAATTGCCATAGGCAAGTTTCCTGTGAATGTAACTACATTTACAGCTCAGTCAAGTGAGTGATAATCTTTGGCTCTTTAATGTATTACAGCAACAACCCTTGCCGGCTTTTTCTTTGTGAGAGGAGAGTGGGGGAAATGGCTTTAGCATTTTACAATAAGAAAAATCAAGTTGCTCATTTCTCTTTATTTGGAGTTTACGCTCACTTGGATGGTAGCACTGTGAATCCAAGTGAGAGAAAGAAGGCAGGTGAACCTGTGTATGATAAATCAGAGAGTGCCAGGACGGCTCTGTAGCATGATGCTGATCTACTGTATGAGAAACTGCAAGCATACACTAAAGGAGCAAATGAGGAGATGTGTAATATAGGGTTGAACTTAAAAATCTGCGCTTGTGAGGAACCGGGAATTCCAGAGAGGACCAAATTCTCTGATCTGTTTCCTGATCTCATGGGGAGGTTGTAGTCCACTCACTTTCTAAGCAAGTTACTGAAAAAAAGGGGATGTGACAGGAGAGCCGGGAAAGGACCTGCCACTGGGGAGAGAAGCTAATTACCTCATTCTGCACCCCTGGCCATAAATGGAAGGCTGCTGGCAAAGTTGGAGTTTAGCTTGGTCTCCTTGTTCAGTTGCTGGGAGCCTCCTCCTTTGGACTCAAAGGTGGAAGCAGAGAGAACAACCCACCCAGAGCCCCACTAGGCATCCCCTGGGACACAGCATGCACACTATCTAGAGTTGGTTAGAAACCCAGACTCCTGCTGTAACAGGAATCCTTGGTGAGATGTGTGTATGAGTAGGCATTGAGAACTGGGGAGAAATGAGGATGAACACGTACTGCAACAGGGAGGACTCCTAATCTTGATGTCTGAAGGTTATTTAGGAAAAGTCAGTCTTACTATATGTTCTCTACAATTGGAAATTTAAGAAACAAAAAAATAGAAATACAAAGATAAATAGATTTTAAAAAATTGTAATGTTTTTTAAGCTAGAGTGTAGCCACTGTCTCAAACTATTTAGAAGAAGCATTTAGATCTGGTTCAAACTATGCTTCAAATTCCTTCGAGCTTTTCTATTATCTTAGGCAATGGTGTCTGTGCCATTATAAATGTCCAGTGGGACTCAAAGTGGAGCCTACTGTAGAATAAGGTAGGGCCTTTTGGTAGATTCTACAGTGCTGAAAACAGCAGTGTTGAAGGAGCCATGAGAGAGAGCTCAACAAGTTCTATTCTCTGGCAGAATTAAGGTTCCTCATCCCAGGGACCATTAAACATTACAGGTTTTAGCATTGAAAGTTCAATACCCCAGAAAATCCCTTAACCCTAGGCTGACAGGGATGGTTGGTGGCCAGGACCAAATGGAAATAGGATTATAGCTTTCTGCACTGAGAGTTGCAACATGGATGGAGTTGGGTATCTCTCTGCTGAGGAAGGAGGAGATTCACCAGGCAAGTGATTGCCTGAGGCATCCTTGGAGGGAGGCAGAGGGCGGTCCATCCAGCTCCTCTTCACTATTTCCTCCCAGGATAGAGTACTGTGGACATTCGGTGCAGAATCAACACCCTGAAGTACCTCTTCTGAACTCTGTCTTGTGAGAGGTATAAAACATCATCTGCCTTCGTTTGCTTCCACTCTTGCAAAAAGGGGGTACAGAATCAAATCTAAGGCACCTTCTACCTCTTTCATTCCTCCATGGGTGGGCTCAGGGAATTACCAACTTTGCCTTGGTTATTCCTCCTAACACCATGGGGGTGGAAGACACAATAAATGGGCTTCAGCCAGCTTTTTTTTTATGAGACACACCATAAGATCAACAGTTCAATATCTGGAAGACACACCATTGTCAACTTTGCTTTACAATTTTTGGAAAGTTTTCATTAAGAGTATTCTTGTCTTTGAAGAGAGACTTCCAAGATCCTTTAACGGCATGTAAATGAACAGGCAACTCTCCCAGGAGTCCCCAAAGAACCCAGAAGTCTCTTATCTCTGAATTTGTTTCAGAAAAAATATATGCATATAATTGAAGTCTCAAAACAACCCCTAAAAACTGTACTGCAGCTCTAACACGCACCCTACTCAAAACAGTAGAATTATCTATCATTCTATCTGACAAGGTTACTCTGACACATATTTATTTTCTCTAGGAGTGCAGAACATTTTATATCATATAGTATTAATTCAGGGTATCATTTAGAAAGCTTTGCCTATGATTAATCATACAAATATGTATTGTATTGAGTTCTAGAAGTTGTCTATCAGGCAATGACATCTCAAAGGTGAATGACATGATTTTCTAGCAAAATGAAAAAAAACATAGTTATGATTATTAAAAAGATAGTGGGGTCCTTGGGCAGTAGCATAAACCTTTCCTATGACAGTACCCATGAAGGAAGATAATTTTCAGCTAAGGAGGAGTTTTGGACCAATTTGGTGGTCCTACAAGTTTTTATAAGTACATTACAATTGAGGAGAAGGGGTTGTTAAATCAATTATCTTACAAATCATCACATGCTTGCTATGTGTTTTTCCTTATAGATTAGGAATGGGGTCAACAACACTTTCCTGTCTGTACAAAACCAGGCTTGGCGAGGACGGGGGCGCTGTAGAGACAATGGGGCCTCAGAGTTAAAGAGGCTCGCTGTTTAATTGAACATATTAGCAGAGGGAATGATTCAGGGGGTCCCAATGTTCTGGGGTGGCTGCTGCTGCGCCTGAAATCATTATGGGCAATTTCAGAAAAACCAATATTGTAATTATTTGTAAATGTTGGTTTGCCGTTCATCAGCAATAGGCAGGTTGCTTTAAGAAGACCCCTGGGGTTAATTATACCCTTTGAGTTTAGCTTCATCTAGGACTCATTTTTTCCTCTCTCATATTTTATGTTACAGCTGAACACAGCACTACTTTAAAAATAAACCTTAACAATAACAAATTTGCAATTCTGGACAATTCTGATATTTTCCTGCAGAATATAAATCATACACACAAGGAGAAAATAGTATGAAAAAGGTCCACTAGTTTCGGATATACCACGGGCAGGCCCTCTGAGAGTCCTCCCAGAAACCATAATTGAAATGTCTATTTCTGGCCATGGAGATTACAGGCTCTTCCTTTGGAATTACTGAGCTTTGGGCCCCTTAAATCTGAATCTACCCGTGCTTTTCCTTTCATCGGCAGAGATGCATGACTTCACAGCAAAAATCATAGCAAGTCCAGGGCTTGGGGCAGCGTCTGTGAAATGTGAAAGGAGAACAAGATTCCCTGTTCCACTCCAGGAAACACAATGGCAACAGTATTCTTAACATGGTAGACCAAGGGCCCGAACAGACTCCCACCACAAAGGCTCTGTCTCTGTTCCTTGCTCACCCATTTTAAATGCTTATTTTTAGTTATGAACGTATGTATGTGTGGGTTTGTGTACAGAACTACAGGTGCCCACAGAGACCAGAAGGGGGCTGTCAGATCCTCTGGAGTCACCCAGTGTGGGTGCTGGAAAGAAGGGGTCCTCCGCAAAAGCAGTACTCTTAATGGTTGAGCCAACTCTCCAGCCCTCACTCACTCTGTCTCCTTCATACAGATCTGCACTGAGGTCTGAGATCTCAGCTATACTCATGATTGACTAGTGGTGGATCTAGAGTTTGTACTGAAGTCTAGAGTTTTTACTATCAAATAGCATTGCTGTGAATTAAAACACTTAATTTTGCTCATGCCAACTCCCATCTCCTTTGTTTAGTTATTCCTCACCAGCAATTTTAACCTTGTACACATCACTTTTTGTTAATATGCATCTTTATAAAAGTCCAATAGGGATGGTTTCCCTATTCAGATGGGAAGCCTATTTCATGTCTCCAGCTCAGACACATTAAGGTTCCATCAAGGAACAGTATTGACAGGTCCTTTGGGAATTAGCAAATTGCCTAGGGGAATCGGAATTTAGAGTTATTAGGCCACTAATTCTCCCTTCTGAAATCGAGTTCTTAGCTAGAGATGTCAAACAAATGACTCTAATGTGTCTGTTCTCTGTCCTTATAACTCTCCCTGACACGTCTTGGGGCGGAGGCAGGGCTCCCTAGATTTCCCTTACTTCCAAAGCTTAGCTCTGTGATGTTAAAGATAAAGGTGCCGATTTGTCTTCATCATTGTTCATCCCAAATAAGACCTCTGGAGACAAGCATTCCTTCTCTTTGAGGTTAAAGGAATGTCTGTTCCAAGGTGACCTGACCTTTGTCACCCTAGCTCCCAACTTCAGGGGGACACCAAAATATGGAATGAATGGGTAAGAATGTGGCCAGTTTCTTGGGCTTTATTTATTTAAAATGTGTATAGGCGTTTCATCTGCACATATGCCTGTGTACCTCATGAGTGCCGAGAGGCTGGAATCCTCTAGGATTCTCTAGGATTGGAAGTACAGATGGCTGCTGGCTGTATGTAGATACTGGGACTGGAACCCAGGCCCTTTGCAAGGGCAGTCAGTGCACTTCACTGCTGAGCCATCTCTGCAGTCCCAATTCCTTAGGTCTTTACAGAGAAAGGACTGTTGAGCCTCCTGGGGTCAAGCTCACTGAGACACCTGGTGCAGAATCTGGTCCAGCTCCATTTCTCGTAGGAATTATGAATGTGTGTTGGGGTGGGGGGGCTTAGATGACAGCACAAAATGCAAATTAGACAGCAACAAATGAACTCTGACAGACTGAACCACAGAAACACCAATTCCCTTTTTGTGGGTAGCATGAAAGCACCAACAGATTAATTGACCAATTATCTTTGTTTCATTGTCCTTAAGAAAAAAAAATGACCATGAAGGTTTGGTTTGTGGTTATGGGGCTGATCCAAGCTGAGGAAATCAGGACAGAAATAACCATGACCGAGTGAACTCTACTCTTGCCTCCATGCCATAAAGGGGGCGGTACACTTCTTCACTAACTCATGGACATTGGTTTGGGTGTTGCCAAGAACTGGGATTCTGGGATGTTTCTGCCCTCACGTTGGTAACCTTAGGGGATCTGGCAGTTTCCAAAGCTGGTCCCTCCCCAAAGGTTTCAGGCAAGATAATGCACCATTGTCTCCCTCTGAGGACTTTTTCTGCTACCTCTCTACCCTGGGAGACTCCAGTGTGGGAGATCCTTTGGAACAAAGGCAATTAGAGCAGAAAGACTGGTGGAAAGTCTGTGTCGACCTGTCAGAGATCGAGGCTCCAAACACACAGCTGTAAAAAAAAAATAAAGGAGGGTGTGGAAGGGGTAGTTAGTGATGTTTTCAATCTAAGAAGGAAGAGTGGGGGTTAAAGAATTTAGTTCGTCAGAACCAGCATTGCCTAATACAAGTCAGGGTCAGTAGCTAAAGAAGAAAAAGATCATTATGAATGGGTGTGAAGGGAGCCATGCTCAGACATGCGACACAGTGACAGAGGGAGTACAGGGAGCTGGTCACACTCATGCTTGATGGTGGGAGATGGATGGGAGTCCCATTTACAGAATCCTTGGATAATGCCCTATGAAATCACTTCTCTGTGGCAGCACCTCAAGCTCTGCAGGTACCCGAGAGCATGTTAGAAATAAATGTTTGCAAAGGCCAGAGTTCGGCTCATCCCCAACAAGCTCACTTCTGTTGTCCTGGAGACAGGTGCTTAAGCTAACCTGTCTCCTTCATCAGAGCTCTTAGTTGACGGGAATGGGGTCCAGTCCCTGGCCTAATCTCCCTCTCCTTCCAGTCACTGTTTCAGGACATAGTAAATACTGCCCAAATGAACCTAAGATGAGTGGAACATCCAGCACATTTAAACTCATCTCAGCCAATTGTGGGTAGGAAGAGACGGATGGGGGCAGGGTGGGGGCAAGGAACACCTGATTTCATTAGCTGTGGTATGTACAATCCACTAACAAGAGAGAAGCTACTAGTTCATTTAAATCATTTGAACTCAGGCCCAAGTCACGTAAATCCTTACTAATGACCAGGGAAAGGAGGGGAAATGTCCTGAACAAAGCTTCACTTTCCTGCACCATAAATTCCACTTGCTCTAACCTCTTTACCCCTCCCCCCTTTTCCCTTTCAGTTCAAGGTTTGTCCTGCTGCTGGTAGTTCACCTGCACAGCAAGTTTTTCTGCTTATCCTTTTCAGATGAGAGTTGAGGACCTGAAATGGATGGGAATATGGAGTGATGAGAGGGGCAATTGCAGGCTGGAATCCTGCAAGGTTCACTGTGACAATGGTGACACTGACAGCTTGGCTCAGCACCGAGGTGTGCTTTCCTGGCAGCTTCAGGAAACAAATTGTTGGCCTTGATTACAGGTCCTGAAGCTACCTCTCTCTCTCTCTCTCTCTCTCTCTCTCTCTCTCTCTCTCTCTCTCTCTCTCTCTCTCTCTCTCTCTCTCTCTCTTAGATCAATTATTATTGTGGCTTGCAACGTTCTTTTGTTTCAGGGACATTCCTATTTTGCTACATACCATGGAAATATCAGACGACTCATTGTTGGAAATGAAGGGGCTTGCTCTGCAAGTCTGGGAGGCTGGGTGTAAATGGGACTGTATTAGGTGATGCTGCCACACCTACCAAGAGTAAGTCCTCAGGGATGGTAAATGGAGGGTGAAGGAAAGGGGATATACACAGGGTAACACACACAGGGAGTGTGACTCAGGGAACAGACCAGGAACAAAGACCATGCAAGACAAGCTGTTGAGATTTTGACTGTGTGGATGTCGCCCAATCAGTTCTCAGAGAAGTGAGGTCAGAAGTGAGGTCAAATGGAGGGAAGCCCCTTGCATGCGCAGGCACACCAAGTGGTTATTGGTGTTAGTCTGGCTACGTGATCACTGCAGCCTGTATGTGTCTTTAGGGTGTGATGTGAATTAAAACCTTACAGTTAGGAGAAAACAGAATGCCTGTGACTCCCAGGGGAGGCTCTGGATAGGTCTGACTTTAGTGGGGGAAGAGCCAAGAGCAGAGGTCCCCTTCTCTCTTGATGGTGATCGAGAAATGTTTTAACAAGGTTGTGACAGGCACAATATTAACTAATTATTTCATCACCGTTAGGCACTTCATCAGGCTATAATTTTTATTTCCTTTTCTGCAAGGGTCAATCATGTGCTTCTTGATTGCATGGAGATTTCAAGTCATCGTTAATTGCCAAGTGACTTTTGCTTGGTTTGTGCCTCCTGCCTGGGGGAGAGCCACTCTTGAAAAGTGACACCTCAGCCATCAATCCAAATTCTCATTTCAGAAAGTCCTCCATTTATGCACATTTCGTGAAGCACTCTCTGGTTTTACAGGAGTGCAACCTTTGCATGGATCAGTCTGTCTTTCAGGAGCACTGGGAGGCTGTAAAACATTTCCACAGGGGGGTGCAGCTCACTTCCAAGCAATTATGGAGCTACTGAATATAAAGTTAAGCAACGAGGATAATTTTCAAGGCACGTTTCTGGGAAATAACGTTTGTGAAGTCTGTTAAAAACTCAAGTTTCCAAACTGTACTGTGGCTAACGTGGCTTTCCTGAGAGGGCAGTTGGTGTGACTAGATTTCTTGAGGGAAAATATTAAACCAAAGGTTGTCATGTTATCAGATTGCCATGTCACAGTTGCAAGGACTGCTGAGTCTAGACGTGAGAACTGAGAACAAGAGTAAAACTTTCAAGTGGCTCTGCTGAATATATCTGAGACAAGAGGAAATGCGTGCCAGGCTGTGGGTTCAGGTTTATTCCTCTAATCAGAACAAAGAGTTTTACCTTCTGTTCACCAGCGTGGACGACATCATCAGCACCATGCAAGCCACATGACAAAGTCACATGATACGCACGCACATGATTGGTTGAAAGGAAAGTGGAGGAGGTCACATGGAAAATACAAAAAAATTAAAAACTGATGTAAACAATGGGCAGGGAGAAAAAAATCAACAACAAAATCACAGACTAAATAAAAGGAGAAATCAAATTAAATTAGCAGCTTATATAGGAGACACTGGGAGGGCAAGTGTACTGCCCAGAAGGAGGAGATAACAAACTATATAGTGCATTTAGTTAACAACACCAATAAGCATTAGATACAGTTGCAACATTGCGGATTAATACCACATCAAGGAGTATGAACACTTTAAAAATGAGAGGGTATTTCTGTCAAGGCCCAAATGTCAACTTAGGTCAATCTCAGAGACTGTTAAAGAAAAAGAAAAAAGAAAAAAAGGGCATGTTATTTATTTGCAGATTCCAGAATTGTCTCAGCATCCTTGGGGAAGCAATGGCAGTGAAACAGCTGTAGGTCATCAAGGAAGAGTCCTGAAACAATAATAGATTGTGTTTAATTAATGAGAGTAATTTCATATTTGTGCTTGGCCAACTAGGAGAGGGAAATGACTGGCGAAGGCTGGGTGGTCATAGGCCAGAGAGGGACAGCTTGTAGGTTCTAATTCTACTTTTTTTACGACATACCCATCCTAACACCCTAAGGGACTCTTCAGAGTCAAGGCACACATAAAAGGGAAAAAGTCAGTACAGGTAAAGGACTTGGTACCCTCTAGTAACTGATATAGTAGCTGCATTGATACCAAATAGCAGAAACCAGCCCCTGGTCCAACATGTAGAGAGAGTGACATTAAATGTACACTTGATTACTTGTGGACTTGATGATGCCTTCAGATTTGTCAAGACTGTGTGGATAAGAAAGGGGTTCGAGAATTACAGTGTAATCCAGGGTTTCCCTGTTTGAGTTCACCTATATTCCTTCTGCAGTGAGCTTTACTCCATACTGCAGTTTGGGATTAAATAACAGACCCTAACTTCCTAGGTTTCCTAACATAACTTTCATAGGCCTGGGGCAAGTTCTAACTCTTGACAGTTGAGGTTGAGGGAGAAGGGTAAAGATGAGAGGTAAAGATACCTTTCTGAAAGTATGCCACTGACTAAAAATAATGAGAAGGAAACACTTTAGGTAAGTGCCATATCCTTGCCACTGTCAGCTAAGAGAATGCAGGATTTTATGGTCTATTGCGATACAGGTTTTTGCCAAGGGTGCCTGGCAAGGATTACATGTGGCGAGCAATTCCTCTTGATTTTTTATTCATGAAAATTTCCTTCACCTATGATTAAACGGATCACACACACACACACACACACACACACACACACACACACACACACACACCCCACATGCATATACACCCCTAGGAGATATGATTTACTTTCACCCATGTTATCTGACTGATGGAGTTTTGCATGGCCCTGGCTACTGTGTTCCCTTCCACTGTGGCTCACATACTCTCCATCTTGTCTCGATGAGCAGGAATGCACTCACGATAACACAGGCTGCTACCAGTCATGACGGCCTCTCCTTTCTCTCACTATCCACTGGGACCTATGATTTGGGTCAGTAGTCGAGTGGTTCAAAATAAAACAGTCTCCAACCTCCTGCTATCAGATTTCACGATTAAGCATCTTATCTTCAGATAGATATGTCTGATGTTTAAAAATGAAACACCCGTCAGGGGAGAAATACTTCATTCCTCTTTCAGGAGAAGTCTGGAGCCGAGACTGTGTTTCATTGACAGACAAGACCAAGATACAAAGAGGTGTCTCAAATAGGACAGGGTTGTGCAAATAGGTCGTGGAGCTTTCTCCTATTGCCTGGGACACATACAGCACCAGACTGAAAAGGGACAGTAGGAGACCCTGCAGAAGAAAGGGAGTTGTTAGCTGCATTCCTTGTCCAAATGCAAAAAAACCCACAAACAAACAAGAAAATCCTCAAGCCCATCATCAGTGTTAAACCCATGTGAATGAGCCTGGCTTTATTGTCTCTGCTCTGCTCACAGAAGCAAACCTCAAAGGCACCAGGAATTAAAATTCATTGCAGCACACACACAGGAACACCAACAAAGCAGACCGTAGCTACGTTCTGCAGGAGAAGAAAAAGAACCATTCCATGCAGCACACCAAACCAGCAAACTCTCTTCTCTCCTCTTTAATTATGTATCAAAAGCCTTAGCTGGGTGTGGAACTCTGCAGGCCTGTCATCTGCCTTCTCTGGCTGCTGTTTAGGAGGCAGGACAAGCTCTCTCTGCATCCAGAAACACAGTAAAAGAGGAAAGCCCTGCCCACCGTCCAGTGCTGGAAGATAGGCAGTCCTGTACAAACAGGCTTCCCATTACCAAGGCCAGACCGGAAGCTTTCAGCTGACTAAGCAGGTTTTCAGGCTGGTAAAGGGGATGCAGTTGGCCCCTGGATTCTACTGTTAGGATTGGAAGTCTAGCATTTTCACCCCAGAGAGCTTGCGGGGGGGGGGGGTGGCTTTATTCTATTGTTTTTCTAGCACTGAGTGATAAGGGGCAGAAGGAAGGGACTGTGACTCCTTCTATATGTCCTCTGCCGTGAGACAAAGGCAGCCATGTTGTCAGAGGACACAACACCTTCCACCTTTCTCAGAGCAGCCTTCCTCCTCTGGTTTCTTCCTTGCTCTCAGCCTTATTGGTGTGTGTGTGTGTGTGTGTGTGTGTGTGTGTGTGTGTGTGTGTGTGTGTGTGCGCGCGTGTACAGTATTTCGGGACAGTAAAATCTTGAGAAGGAGTTACCATTCTTTTCCCCCTTCCTTTTCTGTTTTTAACAGGAATGTCTATTTGGAAATGTCTCCTCAAGAATAGACTCTACTACAAATAACTACCCCTTATTCTTTTGGAGGAGGTTTCATTTGCTTCCTTGGCCAAACAGACAGCATGCTTAGGAAACCATCCATGCAGTCACAAATGTAGTCTGTGCTATCACAAACATTCGATCAGCAGTGCTGCCCAGAGCAGCCAGGCTCTGTACTCACTAGACAGGTCTGTGGTTGGAAGGACAGGAAGAGGCCAGGTTGCTATGGAAACATGAAGGACAGAAAGGGCACCGGAAGGTGAAGGTGAGAATGGAGATAAATCTTATATACCCATAAGAACAAATTGTGCGCATAAGTATGTGCGCATATATATCATAAATATGTATGTGTATATGCATCATATACAGTAGGAAAGTCACTCATCCTGTCTCCCTTATTTATCAATATTAATATAAATATTTTAGAGAGATTATCAGAGATTTTGTTGACAAAGGACTCATGCAGCAAGAAATACTTGATCTCCCAATTATTCTTTCTAATAAATCCAGTTACTAAATGCTAGACATTTAGTAATTTTTTCACAAACATCCATACAGTATGGGGGGAATCTATCCTTCATTTTAGAGATAAGAGATCTGAGATTTCGGGATGCCAAATGTGGTCATGAAGTTACGGGTAGAAGGATGAGAACAAAGATTCGAACCAATGCCAGTTTTGTTCCGAATCTTGGACTCCTTTGGTTACAGTGCATAGCTTGGAATGAGGTGGTAGGAATGCTTCCTATTAGAAGTGATGGGAAGAGTGTTTTCAGTTTGGGGGCATCTGCAGTATTAGGGAGCACAAGACCATCCAGGGAAGGCATGCTGCTGTGTGCTGCTCTCAGCCGATGCTGGCATCACACCAGTCACTTGCTCAGTAATGTCTCACCCACCACGCCCTTGCTGGAACAAAAGCACGGAGCAGTGAAGGGAAGGGTGGGCAAAAACCAGGCTCAGCCTCTACAGCCTGCTGGGTCAGTGATGCCCAGCAACGGACAGCAAAGCAGAGCTTGATAAACGCTGTAATTTTCATTTTCATGTTTTTAGGGTGAGTGCGGGACTTGTCATTTGATTTTAAGATGGAGATGAGTAAGCCTCACCTGAAAGGGTTAAGTAATTCGTGCAGATGCCTCTTGCCAGGCACATCTGTGAGCAAGCACTGTTAATTTCCCCACAAATATTTATGAGACGCCTATGCCCTTATGGATATGGTGAAAGCTACGGGCCTCACTATCTAATTTCAGTGCGTGAGTCCAACTAAAACAAAGGGCAAAAACACAACACCTCAAAGCATTTTATATGACCCCGTAGGCAGGGAAGGTTTTTTTTTTTCCCCTTGGTAAATTCCTTTGACTTTTCCAAATATCGGCTTTGGTCTGGCCCGCTGGGAATCATATCACAAGCATATGGCCACCAAAGCAGCCCCAGCACAGCTGTCTGCAGGGCTTCCTACCCAGAGCAAAGCTCTTCTCTAGCCTGCCCTGAGAGCATTTCTCTCTCCCTTTGCTTCTTTTAAAACCCGATGTGAGTTTCCATCGCCAGAGCTGAATTATCACCCGGTGAAGCAGATAACCTCAGACAGATGAGCCTGGTGGGTGGGAAGCCACCTCCAGGGGCATGGGTGAAGAAAGCAATACTCACTAGCTTGTGCAGACAATGGAACAAGGGTGGAAGAGTTAGCAGGAGCCACTGGAGAAAGAAAAACGATGGTGAACAAAAAAGGAAAAATAGATCATTGGAAACACACAGATGCTGAACTGAAAAAAAAATGGGAGTAGCGATCCTGGGGTGCTGGTATGAGGAACAGACGTGAAGCAAAGGTGGAAAGAGAAAATGTGTGCATGGAACAGGTGGCCGGCACATTACTGGAAAGTATGCAGGACTCTATTTTAAGTACAAACCATGACCCAAGACCCTGTTAAATCTCTTGCACAGGTAAGGAATTGTCCAGGCCCAGCTGAAGAGGCCTCAAACCTTGACTAAATACCAACAGTCACTTGGGCAGGATCACCTGTGCCCATAAGCTCTGAGGGACAGGAGGACAGGTACCTGGGCCTCAACTTAATAGTAACTTTAGTAAAGAAAGATTGGCTTTTCATGTCGCCTTCTATATATGGGTTTGTATATAGGCATGTATCTGTGTGCGCTGCATATCTTTTGCAGGTGTACACGTGTTTGTGTTAACGGATGCTTATGCACACCTATGTGTGTGTGTCCACGCCAGAGGTTGATGGTGAGTGTCTTCCTCATTTGCTTTCCACCTTATTTAAAACTGCTTTATTTTAAATTGCATATATGTGTGTATGTCTGCATGTGGATGTATATGTATGTGCACGTGAGTGTAGGAACCTGAGGAGACCAAAAGGGGGCATCAGATCCTCCACAGCTGAAGTTATAGGTGCTTGTAGCTGTGTGACATGGGTCCTGGGACCTTAACTCTAGTGCCCTGCAAGAGCAGTGTATGCTCATAACCAGAGAGCCACATTTCCTGCCCTCAACCACCTTATTTTTTAAGGTGGGGTCTCTCACTGAACCCAGAGCTCATTGATTCAGCTAGGCTGACAGGCTAGGCAGTGAGCCCCAGAAATCCTGTTGTCTCTACATTCCACTGGGATCACATGCTGCCTTACCTGGCTTTCTTACATGAGTGCTGGGGATCGAACTTAGGTCCTCACTCTTGAACAACAAGTAATTTACTGACTAAGCAAGCACCTTCCCACTCATGACCTATAGCAAAACCTATACATCTCACTCTTTAACTTCAATAACTGAGAGAGATGGAATTGGCCATCTTCAATAGATAGGTACAACTAGTTTTCATACAGAAGCCTCTGGAAACATGGCTGCTTTCCAAAAATCCTCCTTAGAGAATGTGGTTGCTTATGCTGTGAGGGAAGGGTGAGACAAATGTCATTCAATATCATTCCTGCTCCCCTAGAGAAAGGGAATGTTAAAGATACAGGGTCCTCACCAGCAATCCTAACTACCCTTCACCATGGAGGATGGTTAGAAACTGTACATCTGCCACACTGGAAGACTGTATGGATCTTTGGTGTTTGACTGACAAGTATCCAGAAGTTGTCCTTCAGCCATAATACGCACAGTCTCCTCTGAGAATTATGTGGTAAAATGGAAAAGCATCAATCTATTGGTAGTGCTGAGTCAGTGCTCAGGAGCTTGCTTTTCCAGGACCTTCCAGGTAAAGGTATCTGATGAAAGCCAGAGTCAATGTTCCCAGAGTCATAGCAGTTTGGTTACTAAACATTCATGAATAGATGGCTCAGCTAATTAAGGTAAAAGTCTCTCTTACTCTGTGTGTATGAGTTTGTGTGTGTGTTTCTTAAGATGTATAATTGCTCATATTATTTGGTAAAGGCCTCATATTTTATGCATTTTAATAACATACATTGCAATGCATTTAAGATTTAAGACACCTCTTTTAAAAAATGTGCAATGTCTACACCTCAAAGTACTCCATTTTACTTCCTGGCACAGAAGTTTCATTCAGGTCATGAAATGCTACAAGTGACAGAGCAAAAAGATTCAGGCAAGCAGTTCCGGCAGGGAAGCAGCACCCCCTCCTTCCCAGGCACAAAGATCAGGATCTTAATAGCAAAGGGCTTGGGTTCACACAGGCATTGAGCTTGAAAACACATGCAAAGGAACATTCCCCAGGTTAGAGCTTAGTTTGTTGAGAGTCACAGTTTTCTTATCACTCCATGCACGGTACCCAGAGGACCCTCAAACAGCTACATCATGCTTCATCTGGCAGCCAGGAGGCCTTGGCCCTTCACATACTTGTGACTTTTGCTAGTTTTGCCTGCTCATCTCTGCCTCTCATAAGCCTGTGCTCCTGACTGTGCAGAGGTTTCCTAGGGAGTCAAGACAGCAATTCTATTACTGAAACACCTCAATGAACTCCAGCAGTTAGTTAATGCCAAACTCTGGTTTCAACTAACACCTCCCAACTCAGGGGTCTGGCAGCTAACATTTCTGGTCCTGCGCCTTCTGTCTCCTGGGACTAGGGGTTACACTCTGGTCCCAACTCCAGAGCCCCAAGTCAGGCTGTGTATAGACACTTACAGTCCTATAGCACAGGGGAGGAGTGCTGGTGGATGAGCACAGGCTTGGCGGCACACACAGCTCAGGTGATGGCTGATTCTTTACCTGAGTTCAGGCAACTTTGTTGTCTTCTGAGAAGTGGGACTGAGGACCCAGAGGAGAGCCTTACTTAGACAAAAAGTGGGCTTGGTCTCAGCAATGGTAAACACTGACCTCATTTCCCAATGGGGTAGTCCTGAGCAGCAGGATACCCCTGGGTCAGACCTGCACTTCAGTGATTTGGGGAAGGTTGAAGGAAAGGCCCCGCTGAAGTTTCTTCAGGAAGTGTGCGGTTCCCATGTTTATCAAACCCTGATGCTGATATTCTGCTCATGATTCTACTGTAGTACTTCCGTTTGTTATGAGCAAGGTTGCTTCTTAGTCCTTCCTTCTTAACCCTCCCCCCCTTCCTTGTTTCTTTCCTTCTTCCATCCTTGCCTGTATGGAGGACTGAATCTGTGGGTTTGCACAGGATAAACAAATGTCCCACCACTGAGATATGTCACCAGTCCTTTCTCTTTCCATTTTATCTTGTGAAGGGTCTCACTAAGTTACCCAGTGTAGCCTGGAACTCAGTTTGTAGCCTAGGTTGGCCTTGAACTTATGGCCCTCTTGTCTAAGCCTCCCAAGAAGCTGGGGTTAGGCCTATGCTTTTTTTTTTTTTTTTTGGTTTTTATGAGACAGGGTTTCTCTGTATTGTTTTGGAGGCTATCGGTCCAGCCCGGCCTCAAACTCACAGAGATCTGCCTGCCTCTGCCTCCCGAGTGCTGGGATTAAAGGCGTGTACCACCACCGCCTGGCCAGGCCTATGCTTCTTAAGGCCTGTGCTTATTAATTCTTTAAGGCATACCTTTATTATGATTGAGAAAACTGACTTTTGTGCTAGTTGTTGCTGTATCACAACCTTCTCTAGAGGACACTCAGAGAAGTGTCCACTTTCTCCATTAATTGTCCACTTTCACACTACTAACAAAATACCAAGTCTGGGGGCCTCCTTCTTTAAAAAGTTAATAAGGAAAACTAAAATTTTAAAACATTTAATTAAACCTGTAATTTTTAGCACGACTTGAAGCATACCTTCTGCTGTATTAAGAAGCAAACCCAAACCCCCAACAATCCCATCTTAATAAGGGCCTAGCTGCAGGAAACTACTGTGACCTTGAGGGCCAAGATTAGTTCCTATGAGTCAGTTGTAGCCATTGGGGAGAAGACATCCAACAGCAAGTCTTATCCAGGCTTCCTCCTCTCTAACCTAGCAAAGCTGGTCCTCATTTACTGATCACTTTCTGTAGAAAAGGGCCTGGAGGAAGCAGCTAAGGATTGTTGGAAGGATCCAGAAGAGCTTTCTCTCCACAGTTCCCCCGGGGCAGAGCTGTCTGTCAGTCCTACCTGACTGCTCCTTTCCTGCACCCCAGCTCCCACAGGCCTCCGTTCTGACACTTTCCCTAGCTGATGCATTCCGCCACCTTGACTGATCGCGCAACATCCACACTCATCTACTTAGTTTCTGCTGTTGCTGCACTATTTCAGAATACGTTTTTATAATATAGGCTTCCCAGGGTGCCTTTCAGGACCTAGCAGCTTTCTTGGAACAGTGCACGGCTTCCTGGATATCTTTCCTTCTGGGTCTGTCAGGTGCCTCTTCTATCTGTTGTTTAGGATCTCAGCCTAGGAAGAGAGAGCCCAACCTTGGCAAAGTGACATTGGGACTTGGGTATTGCAGTAGACTGAGGGGTCAGGCCAATTCTACTCTCTGCAACAGCTTCCGTCTCTCATTTCCCTAGTTCTGTATTGTCATTTTACATAACTAGAGTGTCACTGCCAGTGGGAATCTCTCCCTCACTCCAAGTGATACTGGGTAGTTACTAAGTTAACCCGCCAGTCTGTTCCCAACATGGAAATATACACTGTAAGCAATCCAGTGAGCATAAAGAGAGCTGACAAGAACTTAGGGCTCAGCCCCCTCCCCACCCCTACTTCACGCAGCTGCCTGCAGGATGCAGTGTACAGTGACACCTGTCTGTATGCCGCCATAACAGGGGGTCCCACCAGTAGGCTCATCTACTAACTAATAGGTGAGGAAGGAAGAACGTGTCCTCCATTCCTTTACTTCTTTAAAGCAAACTAGTAGGTTATTTTCGGCTCTTTGGAACAGTGTCCTCACGAGGCAGGTGTCACTCCTCTGGTACCATGGCTAAAAGTGAGGGCTGCTATCAGCTCATTACTTGGAGATCATCTGCAGATTTCCACCATGCTCTGTTCAGCAAATCGTATCTTTTCCACAATGTAATCACTACACGCAAGAATTAATAAATATGCACAATTTCAAAAGACACGGAAGTTGCATGCTCTAGAACAGAAGTGTTAGCCTCTTGGAGTAACCTATGTACGTTAACAAAGGCACAGCTAGACTAAGGTCAGTGTGGTTAGGGCTCAGACAGCATCATCTACTTCAGCCTCTAGGGGACAAAAAAAGGGGCCAGAACTAAATTATGAACTAGAACTAGATGTTAACACTATGAAAACAGGTAATGAGGTATGAAGAGGCACTTACGTGGAGGAGGGCTATCTGCATTTCCCATGGATGGAACACAGACGAAAAGAAAAGCCAAGAGACAGACCCAGGGGAAAAAAAATAAGATGTAAAAGAAATGAACAGAATCCACAGAGCACATGGAGCTGAAACTCAAATTATCAAATTACTTCAAACAGAAAGAAACACTCCCTTCAGAAGGAAGAAGAGAAGAGCTCTGCTATGGCTGGGAAGAGGTTAAAGGGACTCTGTGTGTAGACTCCCAGGCTTCTCAGAAAAAGAAGCAAAGGGTTCTCATGTGCGGATTAAATCAGAGGTTCTGGGAGAGTCTGGGGCTCCACGGTCACCTAGGAGACCAGTTCTGTCTACAGCATCTTCTTCAGCTGACCCAGGAGCCTTGTGGGGAAGCAATGTGGACGGCAGAGGATCATGGCCAGGCAAGGCTTGTCCAGAGCCTGGCTGCTGTGGGAAAGGAAGGCTAAGCTGGGCAAGCACGGTTTAGGGATGGGGGAATGACAGAGAGAAAGCAAGAGGCAGTCCTGAGCGGAACATGGGGAAAGCAGCTCGCCCAAAAGAGTCCTTGAGGCACAGATGGTCTGAGGAGTCATCTTGGGAAGGAAGAATCAGGTAAGTCCAGGGCCCCTTTGGGAAGGTGAGGACCTGTTCCTCTTCTCAGAGGAGACTCTTCTATGTTTTTTCTCTGTATGACTTAATATTGCCAGTGCATCAAAAGTCCCAGTACAAATGGCATGGGTAGTCCCTGTCTCTCTACTGCCTTCCTTCAAGTTACAGGGTGCTTAAGGGCTTCTGTGGCTTGGCTCAAAGAAGCAACTCTCTCAATTCCTTCCATATGCCCTGCGTTTGTCCGTCAGCTCGTCACCACAGTTAATCAGTGATGGCCCCTGGCTGCTATTCTAATAAACTGGGCCACCCACTAGGACAGTGTCTTCCACCCATTTTGAGGATGAAAGGGGTGTAGATTAGCCATCCCTGAGAACCAGAGAGTTAAGTGGGTCACAATGACCATGGGGACCCAAAGGATAAAAGCCATCTTCTGAGCTATGATGGGTACAATTCAGGGTCTCTGTCTGTCCCTGAGGGAAAGAAGGAAGAGGGTGAATATGAGGAAGAGACAGAGGAGTTGGCTCTACTTACGGACTGGCTGTGTCTTGAACTCGGTGGATGCGCTGATCTCGCCCAACCCCTTGCCGTTGAGGGCCGCCAGTCGTACTGCATACCTCGTCTCAGGCTTCAGGCCCATGATGGTGACAATGCCTTCCATGTTGGCTGTGGTGAGAATATGGGACAGATCAAAAGAGAATGGCCACGTACAGGGAAAACAGTGTATGGAAAATCCTATGGTGGATCTTCATAAAGTTAAACATAACCATTGTTTGGCAAATACGTGGATAGACTGAAAACAGGAGATAAACAGATACCTGTCCACTCATGTTCCCACTTGCAGTATTACCCAGAGTTCAAAGTCACAAGCAGCCTTGATGACTTATGTAACGGATGAATGGATCAATGGAATGTAGTGAGGACCAACCATGGGATATTTACCCAGTCTTACAGATGAAATGCTGACATGTGCTGCAATATGGATGAACCGTGAGAGCGTTTGTTAAATAAAGAAGTGGACACAAAGGGACAAATCATATATGAGGCCCTCCCATGAGAACCTAGGGTAATCAGCTAGAGAGACAGCAGAATGGGGCTTACCAGGGACCAGAAGGAGGTGGAGAAAGGGGGTAGAGGATGGAAATGTTCTGAAGATGGACAGAGGTGATGGCTGTCACTCAATGCTGCTGACTTGTATATTTAAAAATGATTAAATGCAAAATCCATGTAGATTTTATCATAATTAAAATATAAACATAAGTAATATTTTAAAATAGAGGGGGCTGGGGGATGTCTTAGTGGGTGAAGTGTCTGCTGCATGAAGGCCTGAGTTGAAATTCCCAGAAGGCATGTACAAGTTGGGGGTAGAGATACACTCTGAAGCCCCTGCACAGGGGGGCTAAAGACAGATGGGTCACAGACCACTGATGTTCATTGGCCAGCTAGCCTAACTGAATTCATGAATTTCAGGGTCAAAAAATAAATGTGGAGGGTGATCTAGGAAAGATACTTGATGCTTACTCTGATAGAGAGAGACAGAGAGAGAGAGACAGAGAGACAGAGACAGAGAGAGAGACAGAGACAGAGAGAGAGTTAGTTAATCTTGAAAGACATCACTGCATTGACTGAAGATATAGAACAGATCTGGTTCAGGGTAGATCTGTCATATTGCTGGCCTGGTAGCTGTCATCAGTACATGGCAGTCCCTGAGTACAGACACCAAGCAGGGATGGCCAGGTATCATGTTTCGTCAGAGACGCAGCAGAGAACAGAGCAGGGATGCGCTGCACCCATTTTTCCCACTATGCACAGCAGCTGATTAGGTCTTATGTCAGGGAAGCACCTAAGAGGTTCTGCCTGGCCTGGTGAGGTAATGAGGACAGAAGGTTAACAACTCTATGGAAGCATGACCCCAATTCTAGCTGGAGAGTTCCTAATTCTGGTGAAAGGCAGATGGTGACACCCTGCATGTTCCCTACCTGCATGGTCAGCAAAGTTCTGATGAATTTGAGGGTGTGTACTAGACTCACCTTCTTTGGCATCATACCACTTGAAATGCCATGCTTCTTCACCCAGTGACTTCCACTCAGCCTTGTATTTGAGGATAGGCACTCCACCTGTGGCTTCTGGCTCATCAAACTGCACCTGTGCTGTGCTGGAGTATGGTTCCACCCGGTCGATGGATGGAGAAGACGGTGTGTCTGTGAGTGTAAATATGGACACTCAGGTCATGTATGTGGCCCAAGACTATACTCTGAAATATGTCCCATGCTTCTGCTCCCTCTTGGGGATCTTATCAATGAGTAAGAATCTCTAATTTTGGAGATTCCACTTTCCTAGCTCACTTCAGATTCTCCTCAACCCATCCCACAGTCAGATTCTCACACTTCAAGTGGCTTCTTGCTTCCTTGCCATCTGGCTTTTCAGAGTCTGGATCTGCCTTCTACCCCATCATGGTATCCTTAAAGTGTATGAGACGGGCCAGCAGGGCAAGAATGGTGTGAAAGTTACCATGAAGGGCACTCACCTGCTTGAACAAGGATGAATTCCAAGGACTCCTGTCCAATGCGGTTCACTGCCGTACAGTTGTAGTTTCCAAAGTCATTTTCTGAGTCAGGGGTTACCTATAGAAAGAAGGGCCCCAGGGGTTACAAATGTCCCATGAATAGCCACATTCATCTTTAGATAGTAAAGAATAAATCTGGTGATATATGCATTATCAATCACAGTGGAAAGAACCTAGTGTCTCACAGAAGAGGCACATTCCATTTCCCCATCCCAGGCAAGCCACGTGATCAGGACCACTGAAGCTGAGGATGAGGATCTAAAGACTCAGTTTCTTCTCTATCCAATGCTCCCCAGTTTAGGATTGCCAGGGAAGCAGGAAAAGTGATGGGACCCTTCCCATTATCACAGGGCCTGCTCCACCCTGCCCTTTCCCACACCCTAATTCACCTCCAGGTAGCTAGCAGATGGGGTGTTGTAGATCTTGATATTGCTGTAGTTGGAGCTTGGCAGCAACTGACCATCTCGGAACCAGGAGATTGTGGCACTTGGGTAGGCAAAGACCTCACAGGTGATGTTCACCTGGTTCCCCTCCCATGTGTACACAGCCACAGGGCCCTGGAGCTTGGGTGCATCTGCAATGAATGACAATGACCATCAGAACAACTACCACTTTCTTGAAACACCCTCAACCTGTCTTCTGGCACTGGGAAGGTAGATATGACCCAAAGTAGAGTGGGTTCCTGGACCAGTAGAGCTCTGGGACATTTTGGAACTCATGTGTAAATGTTCTCTTGGCTGCTGGGAATCTTGGGGATGGTGTGTGTGTGTGTGTGTGTGTGTGTGTGTGTGTGTATGTATTTGTGTGTGTGTATGTGTCTGTATATTTGTGTGTCTATGTGTTTGTGTGTCTCTGTGTGTGTGTCTGAGTGTGTGTGTGTGTGAGTGTGTGATATGTGTGTTTGTGCATGTGTGTGCTCATGCATATATGTATGTCTATGTGGAAGCTAGAAGTCAAACCCAAGTGTCATTTTTCAGGAATCATTCACCTTGTTTTTCGAGAAAGTGTCTCTCACTGGAGTGTAGGGCTTATTGATCAGGTTAGACTAGCTGTGTGTGTGTGTATGTGTGTGTGTCTGTGTGTGTGTCTTCATGTGTCTGTCTGTGTATGTGTGTGTCTGTCTGTGTGTGTATGCGTGTGTCTGTCTCTGTGTATGTATCTGTCTGTCTGTGTCTCTGTATGTGTGTGTGTGTCTGTGTATGGGTGTCTGTGTGTTGTCTATACTTGGGGTCATAGCACTGGAACAGTTGAGGGCCAACAGCCTTGGAGAATGAACAAGGTGGGAACTTGCTAGTGCAGCTGAAGCTTATCTGTCTACAGTACCCTATCCTTCTCTGCTCCTCCCCAACCCATTCCTTCCCTAGTCACTCCTTACATTGAACTTCAAGGTACATGGACTGGGAGTCCTGGCCGATGGTGTTGCTGGCAGTGCAGATGTATTCTCCAGCATCTGTGTACTGGATGCTCTTCAGGGTCAGGGAGGACACACGAGCATGGCTGCGTACCACCATGTGCCCATCCAGAGTCTGCCAGGAGGAAAAAGACAGCATCAGAGTCTGAGGAGAGGCAAAGGGCAGGGGCAACTAGATCAGTGTGGGTCTACGAGACAAGGTCGGTGCTTGTCTGTGACCAGTCTCTAGTCTTCTCTCTATGCCAACCTCTAATTTCACTTCACCTGGTTCATAATGGGGGAGAGAGTGTGGGAGCAGAGTAGGAACAGAAAATGGGACTCAATCAATTTGCAGCATAGTAAGGTCCCCTAGACTAGTTTGGGATGTATTAAAATGGAAGCAAAAGCCTTGGATGGCACAAACTCCAGAAAAGCCTTGCCTTTTGAGATCCGGGGGAACTAGCACTTGCCTCTGTCCTTTCCTTCTAGTCTGACTCCCCAAACACCCAGTCCCATGGTGTGTGAATGTGTACAAGGGAATGCCAATGACCCAAATATGAGGAGTTATGAAAGAAGCATCCTTCCTGCAAATGTGTCTCTTCTCTGGATGCTTGGTAGCAAGACAATAATCTTCACTCTTAATGGGAAACAAGTCAAAGCTCAGGCACTGCTGAGCTGAAAGTAACAGTCTTCTCTTGAAGAACAGCACAAAGAGAGCCACAGACTCACCACTCATCCAGAATCCTTTTTATCAAAGTCTGCCACTGTCCCTAGCCTTCCATACTACCATGAGTTTACTGAATCTCCAGACTCACAAGGACTGCTAAGAAATGAATGAACACACAGTCCTTAGGCAATGGGTACTAAAAATATTTTCAAGGGTTCCCTCCTTGATATTCTGAGCAAAAGGGGTGCTAGACTTCAAAGGGTCTAGGCATGTACTCCTAAGTCAGAGTACCCTGTGTGAATTGGGATACCCCATTAATTCCAGCACAAGATTCTCAGCAGAGATGGAAAAGAGGGTGTGCTGCATCTGCAAGGGTATCAGCTTTGGTCTTCAGAGAATTAAGTGACACATAACCTCAGCTTCTATCAATATGTTGAATTGGAAGTGGGAAGAGAGGTGCAGAATTGTACAATGTCCTTTGTCAGTCAGCCCAGGACATTGAAAAGAAAGGTCTTGCCGGCTTTGTACAGCAGTCTTAGCAAATCTATGGCACAAAGTTCCTTTGCCAACAGGGATCTGCACTGTTTGGATCAGGTCCACTTCAGTTATCTGAGTTGTGTCTGGGAGCTAAAATATGCTTCCAGCAAGGGAAGGAAGGGCCAAGGAAAGTCATCTATGCCTACAGCTCTGTGCATCTCTTTCTCTCAGAGATGGATGCCCTGGTGTTCCCTTCTGGCCTGTAAATAGGGGACACTTGTTGGTCAAGAAGCTGCATCCTAGGAGATGATACACATTAATGGGAGTGACAGGAGACTGTCCCAGAGATCCCAGAGACACCCAGTGTATTGGAGATGCTAGATTCCAGGACTCCATTTCTTGTAGGCTGACAGTGAATATCTTAGTGTCTATTTTCATATGTCAAACAAAATCTTTACCCATCAATCTGTATTAGGGACAACGAGAGCATGAAGTTATTCTTGCAGGTATCTCTAAAAGGCTGGCCTGATTTGCTTGTTACTCCTTAATGCCTAAAGCACAATGTCATTGAAGGGAGAAAGGTATGAAAGTCTACACATGGTCTTGTCAACTGTGGGATGAATTGTGATGATGATTTGTGACCTGGATCAGGCTTGTCCAGGGTCTTGATATACACATAATTCTCAGGAACTCAAGAGAACACGACCACATGGAAAGAGGCAAGGAGAATCACACGGATAAGAGCATTAGCATGAAAGCAAGGGATGAACAGCATTTGCTCAGAAATGTCTAGAGACAAGCTCCGTGAAAGGCTGTACATTTTTAAAAAATCTGGTCTCCCTGCCTACATTTCCCTGTTGGAGATTTCTGTCACTTAATGATGTCATCACACCAGTAGGCAATCCTCTATAGGGATTTCTTATTTTGTAGTGGCTCACTGCAAGTTTGATGATGGCATTCTCTACCAGCTGTCCAGTTATCCCTTGGAGGATACACCGGTAGACACCAGTGTGATTGGTTTATCTCAACCTGAAATAATTTCTTCTAGCACAGGAACACACCCATAAGACACCCCAACCAAAAGTCCTACTGAACACTCAGGCTCCTTCAGAGGGAGCAGTGAGGTCAGGTAAGAGTGAAACAAGAATACTACAGCAACTAGATCTTTCTCTCTCTCTCTCACTCTAAGAAAATGTTTGTGGCTCTAATTATTCTCAGCAAAACAGTTTTCTCTCCTTTCCCAGATGAAAGCATTAAGACTTTCAGAGCATTCAGAAAGAACCTTGCCACAACACAAGCCAGTCTTTGCACTCATCTGGCCTATGGTCTTCATCTCTGAATAAGTCAAATAGGAGAAAATGGAACTTCTGAGCCCCATGGGCAGCGTTCACTTGAAAGTCAATTATGTCCAAAGTAAAACATTCAAGATAAAAGACACTTCTGGAAAATAGAGTGGGGGTGTGTGCTTTCCTGGGAGTAAACCTATTATTTCTACTTATAATGATAATCCATTTAAAAACTCCTTAATGTTCCCTGATAAATCTCAGTGACTCTTCAGGCCAGGTCTAGCTCAGAATGACAGGGGAAGACACACAAGGCAAAGCAGAATGAGCCCTGTAGCTGCAGAAGTGGCCCCATCATTAACCCCTCCTCCCTTCTTTCCCCAATGTCAATGGGACCACAGTTTGGGGGCAATAAAACACCCAGCCTATGACAACACTAAATGATTTCAAGGTCACAAGAAGGAAGCATTACAGTGGGGATATGTGCTTTAACTACAGTCCCTATGTTATGTCATCGAGGAAGGCATATTACAGAGATGAACTAGATTTGCTGATGGTAGACTATTCAGGTGCAGAAATGAATATCCCTGCCAGGGGACAGGTGGACACCTTTTAAATATTAAGCGTCATATATGGTTATGACCTGAACATGGGCATTATGTATTCTGAATGGTTATCACCCAGAAAGACTAAGAAGGTATACTCACTGAATTCAAATACAGAGTCTACTGAACCACTGGATTGTCTTCTGTGATTATAGTTTTGGGTATTAAGGCTCCATTTGGAGAAAGACACAAAAGGGTCTTTAATAGAAAGCATTCACAAATTATATTTTTGAATCTCATCTAAAGACCGTTGGGTGCTCTCTGTTTCTCTCTCTCTCTCTCTCTCTCTCTCTCTCTCTCTCTCTCTCTCTCTCTCTCTCTCTGTGCGTGTGTGTGGTATGTGTGTTTGTGCATCTGTGTGCTCATGCACATACGTATGCCTATGTGGAAGCTAGAAGTCAAACCCAAGTGTCATTCTTCAGGAACCATCCCCCTTGTTTTTCAAGAAAGAGCCTCTCACTGGGATGTAGGGCTCACTGATCAGGTTAGACCAGCTGGACAATGAGTTCATTGATCCACTTGTGTGTTCCTCCCCAGTGCTGAGGTTACAAGCACAAAACACCATGCTTAGCTTCTAATATAAGTGCTGACAATCAATAAGAGGTCCTTGTGCTCACTTTCCTGACTGAGCTCTATCTCCCTAGTCCCAGGGCAACTGGTTTTTAATGTTCCAATTGGTCACTTATAGGCACACAAACCTGGTTAAAAATGGTAAGTGTGATTATATAAAGGGTCTTCACGTACAGCAATGAAATACAAAGGTTAATGCTTAGCTTCAGTTTTCAACCCCCAGTCCCATGTCACCTAAACTGAAACAAACAGGCAAGGAAATTCCAAAGGCTAAATGCCACTGACTTTATAAAACATAAACCCATTTGTGCCAAATCACTCCAATCTTACGAATTTAATGCTCCATAAAAATAACAGATAAGTTGAACTATTTGGAGAAACCAGTGAAAGATGTCGTTGGCATTGCTTTTGACAGGAAATGCAAGGTGATACTTTACCAAGCCCAGTCATTATCAAGTAAGTGAGCAACAAGATGCGTTGAGCTGGAAAGGGATGGGCTGAGTGGGTTTTAGATCACTCACTCTGTGACTTTATGGTCTAGAGCCACAGCCAACAGAGGAGAGTTATTTTTTTTATTTTTATTATTTCAAAATGCCTGGCTTGGGAATTGGGGCAATTTATTTCTATCAATACAATTACCTGAGTATGGTTTTACCAGCACCAGCAAGAGAATATGATCCTGTTTTAGGAAATAATAAGGATTTGTCCTCCACTCCCAACACAGCTTGCTTGCTCATCCTAAAAAATGACACTATTGCTAGGTGATGTCTACTGCTATGGGCCTAATCTTTAACTAAAGTGCTCATTAGGTTAGCAAGTCTGGTTATTGACTGTGACGGTGAGTTAAACCGAAATGCTTTCAGAGCTAGAGACTGGCTAGCGGTCAGGTAAGCTATACCTCTTGCTTCTCTGGTCGAGTCCACGAAGCCTGGAGAGAACAAGATATAAAACACAACAAGAAGGCAGTAAAATGTCACATGTTGCTTTAGAGAACTCATACTGCTTCCGTGCACATGCAGCTTTTCTTAACTCAGAAAATCTCAAGGCCCACTTTCATTGATGTGACCATCCCCCAAATTTAGTTCAGAAGTTAGCTGATGTTCAGCTCCCCCTCCACCTTCTGTACATTAAGATGTCCAAATCCAAGGTGAATTAAACTCTGTAGATAGATGTATATGTGGATACAAGCACACATATTCAACTTCTCCTATGCAAAGCATCTTAAACAGTCTTCATAATAGTTGAAGGCACTATCTGTTCTTATCAAACAATCTAGGGTTACTGAGAGGGCAGATTTTTTCCCTCTGTATGTTTCAGACAGATTATCCCACATGTACTAAAGCCAATTAAAGCTCATGCATTTTTACAACTCAGCATGCATTTAATTAAAAGCTATTTTTTTAAAACAAAGGAACAAAGCAAGGAGCAGAGAGACACAGTGAGTGTGTGAGTATGAAGTCTTTGAGACTATAGGTCAGGAAGCTTTGAGGATACTAAATCCTGGGTGGTGCAGTGGGGCTTTGTTACTTAAAGTTAGAAAGGTCCCACATGGCATTTGGATGGAAGCATGAACCCTCTCCATCCAACTCACCACTTGTGAGAAAGTGAGAGAAGTCACACACTTGAGGATTTGGAGAACTTCCGGCTCAAGGCTAGATTTGTTAATGTACCCAGCACATAAAATCTGTTCTGCTTGACTTCTCTATTTTCAAACTCTGAGTCAACGACATCAAAGTTGTATTGGCCCTTTCATTGGATGGCCTTCCTGAATGACTGTACTTGATGTTCAGATGGCAAAGGACACAGAGATGCTAGAAACAGGGAATGCGAATGAGTTAGCAAACGGTAAGTTCATTAAACGCAAGGTGCTTTTGTGGGACACAAGGATGGAAATGTTGGGTTACATTACATGATGTTGGGATGAAGGAGGAAGTGAGAACAAAGAACATGCATAGACCAAAGTCACAGTGGGCCAACATGTCAGCTATAGTTGACAATTCTACAATTCTAGAAAGCTTGTTTGTCACATGCCAGGGCTGTGTCATCAAGACTTTTACTTTTTAATGGAGCTATATCATACATGGTTATTTATTTCCAAACTGGAATCTTCAGTGTCTCAATACAAAACCACTAGTGTTCTATGGTTTTTAAAATAAGCTGTTGCTAGGGACATAAGTTCCTAATAGCCTGATTCTTCCCTCTGTGCCTGGTGAGATGTAGTAAATTTCTGTCTTGGCTCCAACATTTTGGTAAAGGTTTGGCCTTTTAAAGGCGATCTGATATTCAAATCTATGTACTTAGGAAACAAATTAGGCTATGATTAATCTGCTCCAAATGTTGTTAGTTTTTGTTTGTTTCAATACTTATTTTGTTATTTTATATAATATATATATGTATATATATAGTAGTTTATATGTATGTAAGTTAAAGCAAAGCACTTCTATACTTATATTAAGCATTCCCTAAATACATTCACCCAATCTTAGATCAGTCTCTGATCACTCTATGCAAAACATTTCCTGATGTTTAAAAGTGGGCCCTGAGCTTGTACCAATCAGGGACTCTCCCTAGTGAGAAGAAAGGTTGGGCTTTGAAAGAATTCAGAATTTCAAAAGATCTCTCTTATCTGCACTCTGTTCTGATCTCAGCTCCTCACACACCCCTCTTCAGCGTCATCTCAAGGCACAGAAACATTCAAATAGCAAATGATGGATGTCGTTTTTTTTATGCCAGAGGTCAGGTACACAGATCATAATCTTGGGTCTCGCTCAATATGTAAATGGTGCCTGGAATTTAGCAACACTCAAACACCTGACGATATTTATGAGGAGTCTGTATAGGATGAGGAATTACATGGCACAGATGCATAATCTTCTAAAGTATCACAAACACCTTCGCACACGTGTGAAAACCAACCCACAATGTTATTCACTTTTTCTCGGGATAATAATGATTGCTAAGGAACAGATCAACATATGGATATCTGATTTACCTCACTGATGTCAATCATCCAAACAATCGCACTTAGCTATTAATAGTAGCTAACCTAAACTAGCTCCACTTGCTGAGGCTTAATGGATTGATGAGACTTTCTCCAACAAAGATGAGACTTAGTCCAGAGACACAATCAAGAGTATGCCATGTCTATACTCATTTTGAATTCATTCCTTCTTTCCATTATAAGAAAGAACAATTCTGATATTCTATTAGCAAGTCACTCCAGGTCTATAGGTGAAACCCTTGCCTCTCTCTTCTAATGAGAAGGGCAGTGCTATAGTCAATCAATGATGTGGAAGACAAAGCTGCTTTAATCCATTTATAGTCCTTGCTAAAGGAACCCGAACCTCCAACAAAAGCTACTGGAATTACAGAAGACCACTGTTGCACTGTGACATCAAGTCCATTACTTTTGGAGCCATTGACTTAGAAGGAATCTGAGGTCTCCGAACTGGGACCTGGTCCCAGTCAATATTTGCATCAGTGACTTAGATATTTTGAATAAGGACTCACATAAGTCTGGAAACCATGCTAAGACAAATGTTAGGTGAGAGCTGCACCAGGAAAGCTGCTGAATTACCTGCACTTGAACACTATGCTTAGTGCTGTGGCCCCCACTGACTGTCTTATCTTATTACTTTTAACATGCAGATATAGCATAAGGGGACTGAGCAGAAATACTCCAACTTCCAGATTGTAAGACTTAAATTATAGACTTAAATATTCTAGGTGACCATGATATGACATGATTCAAGGGCTAATGCTACTTTGACTACATGATATGTCTAGATCAAGATGACAAACCCACTGAGATCTATTCAGGTTACTGGGGGACAGTAAGATTTTATTGAGTGCTAGTAATCTGAAGCTATCAAGTTATGGGACAACTATCTGGGTGAAGGATACACAAATCATGACATATGACAAACTGGGAAATTCTGTGTGGCTGTTAAAGGGAGAAGAGTTGCAGCTTCTATTTCAGTGACTCGGATTCTGAGTGGCAGAGGTAGAGGGTTCTGAGTAGTTGAAGGGGAAAAGAAAAAAAAAGCCCTTTGTGATACTGTAACCATCACAAGTCAGATGGTAGCTGAGTGACCTGGAAAGGATGCTAGAAAGTGATCCAGGTGGAACCACACAGTTCAAAAAGGGTCTTCCAAAACCATCTCTTATCCTGTGGCTCTATGGTACTTAACGCTGGGGGTGTCATTTATTTCAATAATTAGATAAACGGATACCTTTGTGATATACTCAGCTGAGCATCCTGATTTTATAAATGATTTTCTTCACTCCTATAATTCAATGGTGCTGGTGATCTCAATACATAATTATATATAATGCAACTTTAGGTAGGAAAGAATGAAAGAGGCAATTGCCTTAGTAAAAATGATTGAACTAGGATTCAAGCTGCTCACAGACAGATCATGTTTCATGATTACTAGCCTTCTACAATTTCAGATTAGCATCAAGATTCTTTGATGCCAATATTTAATTAGTAGAAATGGCAAAATTTTCTTACCTAAGATTTTATTTAAGCAAATACATCGATGTAGTAGCATGATGAACCTTTCTGGTAGACTTGTTCTAACATTGACTGACTCGTGGTTCATTAATGTCACTTCAAGCAAACCTGAAACTAGTCTACAATAAAAGGAACTGTGATCTAATCTGTGTTGGGTTTAAATAGTTATCTCAGATCAAGACAGATGATCAATAGAGAAAACTGAGTTGTTAAAAAAGTCAGTCCCAGCTGGGCTTGAGATGGTTTTTTCATGATGTCTTCAGTCTCAATATTTAGGTAGTATGAGTGCATATTAGTTCCTAGCTATTTATTTTCATTTTGTAAAAATGAAATCATAGGTACAAGGCAGAAGTGCCAGCCTATTAAAGACAAATCCCAAGTAGGCACAAATCTTAATAATCCTTCTTGTCTAGTTTAACTGTTGAGCCATTTCTATAAAAGACACAGAACTTAAAAATGTCATTCATCTGAAATAGATGTTTTGTCCTTCACTGTAGGTCAGAGATATATACTGGGTCACTTGGACAATTCTACTTTGAAATCTAATATAGAACGACTGGTCAAGCAGTGGCTGGGTGAATTAAGCCCTGAAATATACATTGGGTCCATGTAACACACAAAGGAAGCTTAAATCTTAGCTGGGAATTTAATTCCAGTATTAATAAAGAAATTATTGAAGTATACACCTCACTTCTTAATTTAGCTGGTTTTTGCAGATCAAACAGCATATGTAAGTTTCAAAAATATTTAGCAGTTCCTCAGTTGAGTTTCTGTTAAGTTGGATTCAACTCTGGGTATAAAGCTTGCAAAGAGAGGAATGGGCTATTTGGAATAGAGCTTTCTGTTCCTTTAGATTTTAATTTGTTTTCTGTCTCTGAGGTAGAGATCAGTTCCTCAAATGCAAATTCTACTTTTAGCCCTGGTGCTTAGTATTCTCCCTTTGGCTTTATTTCAGTGTGTTTCTAGAGATTTTTTTTTGAGCATGGCAGAAGAGTGCATATCTATCATTTTTGACATTCTGGTCAATAGACAATCCATTATACACACTCTTTACAGTTATGGCTATTACTCCTGCATAGGCAACCAAGCTTTGGCCAACTAAAAGTCTATTATTACAGAAGATGCAAAATAATACTGGAGAGGTGCCATAAAATCATTATTTTTCCCCCTTTATATATTGCTTCAGATTGAATTTAGGGCCATTTAGGGCCATGTGTTCTACTGCATTGCTTGTCCTAATGATATCTACACTGCTTTGCAACTTAGCCCTTTCTTCTTCTTCTTTATCTTTTTTTTTGACCCATTATGCAGCAAAGGGCTGCATGATGTGGGGTTGTCACTCCACTATTCATATAGTGCAAGTAATAAGGATAGTTTTCCAATGGCCTATAGATCCATGCACCTTATAGCTAAATGTTCTCAATCATTTTAACTTGCCAGGGAGTTACTACCACATTCTTAAACTTTGGTGAGTACATTACAGAATCCAGGTATAAGTTCCATCATCTAGAAACTGCTAATTATTTTTGCCTTTAGAACAAAATGGAATCCAAATGTGACCAAGAATACAGGCAGACACAAAGGCAACCAAGCTTTTGTGCACAGAGTGCACACAGCATGAGTATATGAGACGCAAGGAAGAGAATTAATAAACTCATCCTAATCATTTTTGTTTGCTGGGTGTGTCTGAGCTAATGAAAACATCATCTGATGCCCCAGAATCTTGCTTGTCCTGGGCCCTCACCGCTCCACAAGCCTGGGCCAGAAATTCACTATTGCTTCCTCCCCAAAACATCTAGCTTGACCACGCCCACTACCAACATGCCCCTGGCAATCGACACAGGGAACAGTGCCCATCCCACTGTGAGAGGATGTAGAGTAGACCACAACCAGGCAGGCTGGAGGAGGGAGGTTGCAGGACTTTACTGTGGCTACGGGTAACCACATCCCATCTTGCCACGTGCCAAAGAGAACTGGGCCTGGGTAGACTCGAGTTGTTTCAAGTCTGCATCCCATAGCCCTGAAACTCTTGGGCGACATTGTACCTTTTCTTCACTGCTGATGTTTCGGGTGGAAGTTCTCCAGGTGATGGAGGGGATGGGGTCTCCTGAGGCTTCACAGGTAAGAGTGACTTGTTCCTCTAGTTCCATGGCTGTCTGATTCTCTACATAGGTGATTTTGGGCTTTGCTGAAAAGAACAAAAAACATTTCGATGAGTTTATCTGGTTACTTGAGTCTTTGGGGTTCAAGTGATAACATGTACTCTTTTATTTATTTATTTTTTCGTATTTCATACCTTTTATTATGAAAACATCTCAATGCTATAAAAATTAAGTTTACAATAAGTATATACTATTAAACTATTATAAGTAAAATTAGACAAGTAACTGTTAAATTATAAGTCATTTTTAAGAAATGAACTCTTAATATTGTATCCAAATATCATAATTTAACATGTACTCTTTTAAAAAGGGTTCTTATTTACTAAATATAAGGCTCAATTCTAGGTATAGTAGCAGACACAGAACTGAGCTGCTAGAGGTTCTGCCAACATTGAAATGACAGTCAGAGAAACAGTCTCTGGAATATACAGACAATAAGGCGTTTGAGGCTTCCTGTAGAATAGTGCTACATTGACTCAAGCCTTCACATGGAGATGGCTTTGGGGCTGGGCCCTAAGGTTTTCAGCAGGTGCAAACTTGGGTGGAATGGAATCATTCTAAGCTCAGAAAAATTCTTGAAGGAAATAAAAGGAGCAAAAGGAGATGAAGGGGGAGGTAGGAATGGAGAGGGGGAGGAAGATGAGGGAGGGGGGTTTCATGGGACAAGAGGACAAGGTTCAGCAGGTGAGATTTTACCCATAAGCCAGAGAAGCTCATGGGTGGAGTTTTGTTGGAGCATGGAGTGGTCACCGAACCCCCAAGAGGATTAGTCTAGGGGGAATTCTAGAGCAGAGAAATCTTGAGATGGAAGCTTTGTTTATGTGCTTCAAGGTAGGCTGAGGACAGAGAGGAGACAGACTGAACTGAATTTCTTTTCCAAATGTTAGAAGTAATGTAAAGAACACACACCTTCCAAAGCTGAGTTAAATGTGAAAACATTAGAGAAAATTGAATTTTCCTAATTTAAAACAATTATACTCAGAAATTGCTGAACCTTCCATAGAAGAGAAAAGGCTGCACAAACAACTTATTTCACCACTAGAAACAAAAGCGGGGTTAAAAAAAAAAAGACATAAAGCCAGAATGGCAGGTAGCTTTTGAAATCTCTACATTTCTTTTCTACCCAAATCCATAGTAACTGCAAGTCAGCTAAGAAAATTTGGTCTGAAAAGATCTATATTGAAGTCTTCCATGATACTTCAATAAACTGAAATCAGTGACAAATGGCCTTCTTCCAGACAAAAATCACCTGGATAGTTCATACGGCTTCTTAACATCACCCACAGGACACTTAACAAATTATTTTCTTGTGGCTGGCACATGGACAAACGTTAATCCTGTATGGGCAAATGATGTTGAGATGATGGAATCCATGAGCTTTATGTCTTACCTTAATAAAGATGTCTTGCAGGAGGTCACAACTTACATCATATGCAATGAGGGTTCACTACTATCAAATCCTAACTTTTAGAGGGTAAAGTGAGGCAAAGCAAAATTAAGATGAAATAGGACTTGAATTTCTAGGCTACCAAAGTGACCAAATGAAAAGGAAAGGGACAACAGATGTCAGAGAACAACAGATAATCCCAGCACTGGGGAGGCAGAGGCAGGTGTATCCCTGTGATTTCGAAGCCAGTCTGGTCGTATAGAGAGTGCTAGGACTTCCAGGACTAATCAGAGAGTCTGTCTTTTAAAAACAAAACAAAACAAACAAAAGAGAAAAAGAAAACCCCATACACAGATTCTCTAAACAGTGACTCGGGGGCTGGAGTTAGCTGGTTATACCAATGGCCGAATTTCTGGGAACTGAAACTTAAGAGCCTGAGACTTAAACAGTGTTTTTGACCTTCTCCTGGTCCTCAGCACTTTGTCTTTGTCAGAGAAAAAGTAACAGAGGAAGAGTCAGGTAACATCTATTAACATTTGGTTTATGTGTCCCTATCTCCTAGATGGATACAAAGATTACATTCTACAAGTGCTTAGAAAAAGAGAAGCCACATTCTTCTGCACTCTTATTGAGCACAGTTGGGTTATTTGTTTGTTTGTTTGTTCTGTTTTTCTCATTTTGTTTTTACAGGGACTCACTATACAATTCTGGATAGCTTATAATTTGGTATGAGACCAGTGTGGCCTCAGACTCACAGAGATCCACTTGCCTTTGCTTTCCAAAGTACTAGGAATAAGGTATAAAAACATGTGCCAGCAACACAATATTACCGAACACTAATTCTGCATAGGCTACAGAGTTTTGGAAGGGATGATTCCATCCTGTTCCCTGAAAGCAGTACTATTGTCAGTGCTTGAGGAAGGCAGAGACATTCAGGTGTTGAGGTTTAGAAAATGCCCCCAGGGGCTCACAGGTTTGAACACATGGCCCTTGTTGGTGGTGCTCTTTGTGAAAGTTATGGCAGTTGTAGGAGGTAGAGCTTTGCTGGAGGAAGTACATCACTGGAGCCAGAGATTTCATAACCTGACCCACTTCCTGTTCCGTGTGTGTGTGTGTGTGTGTGTGTGTGTGTGTGTGTGTGTATGAAGTGTGATCTCATTGCTTCCTGATTTCTAGGATGGCCTTGTGCTCCTAATGTCACATCTTCCCAATCACAATGGACCATATCCATTTTGGAACTGTAAGCCAAAATAAGGCCCTTTCTCTTCTAAGTTGCTTTTTTTTTTTTTTTTTTTTTTTTTGGTCTGAGGATTCTATCTAAGCAACAGAAAATAAACATAATAAGGATGTTCTAAGCAATTACATGAGATAGAAAACACTATTGGGCAAAAGGGACATACACAGAATATCTCCTGCTTGTAAAAGATTCTCTCCCTCTGTATGCTAGCACCAAGAGGGACCTCTCCACGTTTCATCTTCTCATGGTCCTGCTTGAGCTCTTGGAGTTTACATCATTCTTTTGTTGCCTCTCTGTCTCTCTGAGACCCAGTGCCTCCAATGGTTGCCGCTCTCCTTGTATGAGCTACTTCTCTGTGGCTGTGATAAAACACCAGGGCCAAGACAATTTATAGAAGAAAGAGTTTGTTTTGGCTTATAGTTCCAGAGGGATGGAGTCCCTCAGGGTGAACTCCTGGCAGAAGCATTAGGCAGAGTATCAGGAGGAAAAAGTTGAAAGCTCACATTTTTTAAACCAAGCAGAGACAAGTGGAGGCAAGGTAAGGCTATACATGCTCAAGTCCTACCCCCTTCCCAGTCCCCCAAATAGTGCCAACAACTGGGACCAAGTGTCCACATGCCTGAGTCCATGGGGGCATTTCTCATTCAAACCATCACCCTCCTCTCTATCCTGTGAGTATCAGTCCACTGCTCTGCAGTTTGCCACTCAGCAACAACCGTGTCCACTCCAGTGCCAACGGTTTCTAGGAGCCTAGTCCAAGGAGACCCTGAGACTTTCTCCTCCAGCCCTCAGTGGCTGATTTGCTTTAGTCACAGGACTCAGGTAACTAAGACTTCTGCTATCACCGAACTTGCCTCAGCTCATCGCATCAGGTGACATCAAGATCATTATCACAGGCATAATTACCTGCAGAGGCAAACATATTTTTCAGAAGGACTCACAGAGGACGGTGATAGAACTTCACAGCCAACATAGAATGCAGTTACTTAAGGAAAGGAGCCCTTAGCTGATAACCAGGGCAACACATGCCAGAGCAGGTCTCTATCATGGGGTGTCATTCAGTTATGACAATAACAGTTTCTGTTTTTGTCGTGTTCTTTACATACTGACTGCTACTCTCTCTGAAGCTATCAGAGGTTTGATCTTTTCTTTGCTACCCAAGATGTAGGTCTCTTTGCCCTTCAACACCATTATTGCAGAGCAGAACTTCCCAATGTACCTCAGGGATCTCCCATGACAGTAATCTAGAAGGGAAAGGATAGTGCACAAAGAAAGATACCCTAACTATCGGGCTGTATTTCATCAGGCTCTTTGATTTCATACTAGTTGCCTCAACCAATTGGGGAAACCAAGAGAAGGAGAAGGGAAAAAAGGATTAGAAGGCAGAAAAGAGAGAGAGGAGTTCAAGAAAGCTGAATGAGCTCTCCTTGCAGCATTGCAGAGGATGCTGATTCTGGGTTTGATACACTTGTTGCAGGTTCATGATTTCCTTGCTTACCTCTCTAAGAGCCAAACCACTCTCCTCTGCTTGCCCCACTGTGCTGTCTAGAGAACACCCATCATCAGTCTTGGGAAAGAAACTGTGGTGTGTGTGTGCAGATGCAGATACACAGGGGTGTAGGAGTTATTGTGTTCATTCTGGACAAAGACTGGGGAAACAAATCTTGTTCTGCCTATTCTCCATCCTAATTTCTCCTTTCCTTCCCACTTCCCCTGGTCTTATCCATTGTGTTCATTCTCCTGTGACCCTACATGACTCCTAATTTGCTGCCTGTTCTTCCTGAAAGTCAATCATTGCCACCAAAGGGGCCTGGAAGAGGAACAAGAGCTGTTCTCAGACATGCATGAAAGAGCTGAATATGGTCCACAGAACAGCTTCTTAAATGCTGTGTTATGACCCTATGAAGTTCCATGATCGCAAAGCAGAAGTTACAAAAAAGTTTGGCAATAGTAAAATGTTTCTGGACATAAAAAGACCAGAAATTAATTCGAAATCAAATGCACAGTGAATCTAAGTTGCTCCTGGCAGAATTTGCCCATGTTGTATTGTGTGACTTCACTGCAGCCTTGGTTTTGAACACTCAGCATGTATATGCCATCCCACCATACAATGCCAACAAACACTGGCTGTAACAAAGCCTCAGGCTCACATTCAAGACCATTGTACATTATGAATTGTAGTGTTTTTACTACACATGAAAGTTTTCTGCTCTTACAGAAACATAACGGCTTAATTATGGAAAACAATGACTTCAAATATTTTCCTACCATCATTCCTCTGCATGTAAGTATTAAATTAGTGTATCTTTGGATAGTATTGTGTTAGAATGCTTGATTTTAAACATTGCTGTTTGAGTTGCTGAATTGAATTTCACAGAAAAATTATTCAATGAGTTTTGGCTTGGGATTGGAGATAGAATTTCCAACAATTTTTGAAATGGTCTTAAACAAATGTCTGCCATTTTGTACTGTGTATTTATGCAAAGTGGTGTTCTCAGCCTTGATGATTATAAACAAAAACATCAAGCAACACTGAAGAACATTGAAGACATTCTATATTTGGTAATATAAAATATTCAGCCAAGATTTAATTCTTTATTAAATAAACAAGCATGCCCACCTCATTGGTATGCAAACATGCTTTAGGTTTTTAATAAGTGGAAAAGTATATGTATTCCAAAACCATAATTCTAAAATAAGGCTCTTTAAAAATGCCTCAGGTAAAGAGGACTTGCAAGTGGAAAGCATGCAGAGAACCTTTGAGCAGTATTGTGGCCGAGGGACAGCACATATTCCTGTGCATTTTCTACGAGTTCAGATTTAGCACGGGTGCTGACCCCATTGCATGGCGATGCAGCCATCACTGTTTTCTCTGGGTAGGGACCCAGAAGGCATTGTTTTGCTTTGAATTGTGGTTCCTTATGAGCAGCACCTGAGCTCTCTATAAAACAGAGCTCATTTGTAAAACAGGGCAATAACTGAGTCTACCTCAGGGGGCTGTGACGAGGAGTGCAAAGGCTAATTTGTGGCTGTGTGACATTGTGTGGAATAAATGCTCCTTCTGTGCTGTGTATTGCTGTTACTAGTATTACTTTATGGCAGCAGAGCTTTTAAAGGTTCCCCATGGACGAGAGAGGACAACTTTATCCCACGATCACCTCCCTAATACATGGGTCATGCTTTAGTCACGTGAACTAATGGCCATTCCTCCAATTATTCAACTGCTCCTGCCAACTGTCCTAGGTGCTGGAGGCATATTGTAAGTCAACCAACCAGGCAGAGTCCCTGCCCGCAGCAGCCCCCACACAACACAGCATGTGTTTTCCAAGTAATGCCCAAAGCGCTTGTCCCACCATTCAAAAGGAAGCAGCGTATCACTTTGATGACTCACCTGTGCTAGAGAGGATAGGAAGTCTTTTCCTATAAAACACCATCACACCGTTGCTATGGAGTCATTATAAGGGGCTGCCATTTAAAATGTCAGCACTGGACAGCTACACGTGTCTGTGAATCTACTGATGAGAAGAGACTCCATGATGTTTTATTTTAAACCTGGCAATGGCTGTATCCACAGTAAGCACTCAAATGGATAGCGTTGATTGACACTATCTATTCTCTTCTGTATGCTTATATGTTTATCTCTGTCTTTGTGCTTCTCGGAGTCCAATTCTACTTATCTCTCTAGCCACCCCATCTAGCTGCAAGGTGCTCAATATTTCTTAAATGAAGGGATAAATTAACAAATGTGCCTGCCCTCCTCTATAATCTAGAAAGCAGAATGATGGGGGAGGGGTGGATTAGGTATTTGCTTTGCTAACGGGAGGATCTTAGTCTGATCCTCTGATCTACGTAAAACAAACAAACAAAAAACCTGGGCACGTCAGCTATATTTGTAATCCCAGCATCTGTGGAGTTGAAGACAGATGGATCCCCAGAGCCTAGCCAAATTAGCAAGCAGCAGCTTAATGAGAACCCTGTATCCCCAACAAGGTGGACAGTACCTGAGGAATGAAACCCAAGGTTGACCTTTGGTTTCCATTCTCATGGACATATACATGCAGGTGCACACACACACACACACACACATATATATATGCAACACATGCACACACACATGTTTTTCATGAAGTTTAGTGTTCCTTTCCATGATCTAGTTGTAGACCCAGTTGTCATTGACAGAAAAAATTCATCCGTGATTTTCGACAGCGTGCTTAGACAATTCTCCCCATCAGACTGCATATGCATAAGCAGGTCCTAGCATTGGCTCCTATGTGCATATTTTGTCTGCCTAAGAGGGACAGGCACCAGAGACAGGCACCTCTCTGGCCTCGTGCTCACCAGTATGAGCTGCAGTGCAGTGGTTTACCTGTGCTTTTGTTTTTTTTTTGTTTGTTTGTTTGTTTGTTTGTTTTTTCGAGACAGGGTTTCTCTGTATTGTTTTGGAGGCTGTCCTGGAACTCGCTCTGTAGACCAGGCTGGCCTGGAACTCACAGAGATCCGCCTGCCTCTGCCTCCCCAATGCTGGGATTAAAGGCGTGCACCACCAACACCCGGCCTTAACTGTGCTTTTTAGACAGATACGCAGGCATCTTTAAGAGCCACTAGGGTATACCTTTTTTCACAACATATTCTTTTTTGCACAGGCAGGCTAAAAATGCATTTCAATTCTGAAATTCCTGGAAGTTTGCCGAATTTATAAGGACAAAACAGATGGAGATATGATAGCTTTTTTCCTGTGACTTTCTATGACACACAGTGACACACAGGTCAGTAAAGGAGGCAAAAGAAAAAAGAACTGTGAAGCAACCCATCAGGCACTGATATTTAATAAGGTATTGTGAGTCTGGAGCTGTCTGAAAACCAGGGATAGTCTGGGAGCTCCTAAGAGCTCTGATCCTGTGTCTGTGGGTTTCCCCTGCCATGATCTTGACCCCCTTTGTTCATATAATCCCTCCTTCCTCTCTTCAACTGGGCTCCTGGAGCTTGGCCCAAGGAGCCTGCATGGGACTGACCTAGGCACTCAGCATGTGTAGTTTAGTCTATTTGTGGGGACCCTAGCAGTAAGACCAGGATCTGTCCCTAGTGCATGAGCTAGCTTTTTGGAACCTATTCCCTATGTGGGGGTGCCTGGCTCAGCCTTGATGCAGCGGGGAGGCTCTTGGTCCTGCCTCAACTTGACACGCCATGCTTTTTTGACTCTCATAAGAGGCCTTACCCTTTCTGAGGCATGGATGAGGGTTGTAGAAAGGAGGTGGTAGGCTGGGCAGGAGGAGAGGAGGGAGGGGAAACTGTGGTTGGTATGTAAAATAAAATAAATTAAATTAAATAAAAAAAGAAAACCAGGGATAAAGCAATGTACAAGACAGCCAGCACTCTGGCAATGAACTTTGAACGCTAACGGAGACTGGAGATAAATCATCCCCCATCAAACATGTCAAGAGGATTAGTTCAGGAATTGTTAGGTGCATGAAGACACAGCGAGGCCTGAAGGTGCTCAGTAGGGTGGTAGCTTGGATGGGGAGAGGCAAAAGCAGAGGTGAGAGAAGGAAGACTTCACAGAAATGTGCTTGAGCTGAGGTCTGCACGATGACAAGAAGGCAGCTCAGAGCAGGTCTGTCTTAGGCAATGATACTAGAATGGGAATAGACCCTAAAGCAATGTTGCTGAGACGGGGGCACTGAGACAGGGAATTAGCTTGGTGTGAGCAGAGACAGAAAGGAGGCTGGTGTGGTTGCATGGAGCAGATGGAGGAAAAGCTGGAGCTAGAGTACAAGGCAGGAGTTAGGATATATTGGGCCATGTGATTAATCTGGAATTTACTTCAGCTGCAACTGGAATCTTGAGAAGAGGATTGGCATGGAGGCCATTAGGGCTACCAGGAGTAGAAGAGACTGAGGGGAGCCAAGGTGGGGAGCAAGGAGACAAGCTAGAAGGCTGTGTGCTATTGAGTGGCTTCCTGGACTAAGACTTGGGTGTCAGAGCAGGCAGCAAATGGTTGTCTTTTGGATGCATGCCACAGTAGTGTGGGCATGACTTTCCGAGGGGTAGAGTGTACAGAGTAGGAGGAATTGTGGCTGAACAGTGACCCTGGCCCGCACTGAACTGCACCTACCAAAGACCTTGAGATGGATGGATGCATCTTGCTCGCCAGCCTTGTTCTCGGCAATGCAAACGTACTCAGCCTCATCGTTTTTGTCCACGTTCCTAATGGTCAGCTCAGAACTGTCTTCGTTGAAGATGTGCTTCTCATCATCCTCCTCCTCGATTTCTATGGGTTCCCCATCCCTATACAATGCAAAGGGTGATGCGTCTGAGAGCGGAATTAAGAGGTTTGTTTCTGATTCATTTTCACAGAATGCAGCCTGCACTGATGGGACAGGCTCAGTCTACATAAAGGGGGAAAACCTTTGAGTAGCATTTACTGTTATATGCTTTTTATGCCTCTCTCCAATCTTTGGTGTCTATGCAAAGTCTGTCACTCATAAACGTTTCAAAGAATCAGCCCCACAAGCCACACCCTCTGGACCTGCCTCAACAAGACTGAAAATGGAACAATAACCAAAGGCACAGGGCAAGAGAACTTCCCAGAATAGAACCATTCTTCATCCTGATATTTTAGGAAGCCCATACTCATGCCCCTGAAAAACCCATACACAAGGGGTTCTGTGAGTCCTCTCACCCATGACACAAGGCACAAGTCAGTTTCTTACTTTGTCCAGCTCATGGTAGGCTCTGGGAAGCCATCAGCATCACACACCAGGGTAACAGACTGGCCCAGGTTGGCAGTGGCATTCACGATGCTCTGTCTGGCCTGGACGGTGGGTGGTACTGAAGGAAAGAAGCATGTCAGGGGTAGTTGTACACAACTTAAAAGTACCCGATGGTCCTGAGAAGAGGCATTTTGGGGCCAGCAGGTCACAGAGTTATCACCTGGGGGTTAAGAGACCTGGATGGCTATAACATTAGTGCAAGTGATCTAAACTCACATGACATTCTAAATAATTAATATAAACTGAACAAAAATTTGCCCATAAACATGCATTATTGTTTTTAAGAGTCCAGTCACTATATTATCTCTTAACTCATGTTCATGTGGTATTTGATTTACAGTGGCTATTTGCTGTGATGTTTTTTCTTAATCAATATATGCTATATAAGTATGAGGGTTGGTGGGACTCCATGTTAAAAGGAGGCTCTCCATACTGGTAAAAGCTAGAAAATGCAGTTCCTGGTGCATTGTCAGGTCGGTATGCTTCCGAAAGACACCAACTCAGCAGAGTGACATTTCTCTGCAACTGTGATAAACAACCTTGTGCGCAAAGTGTTTCCACTTAAGGAATGAGAGGGGGAGAGTTTGGCAAGAAAACACATATCAATAACCAAAACAATTCAAATGCGATTTACTTATTTTCTTAGTACTGACATTATAATTTCCTGTAAACATCTTGCAAATGTCAGATCGATGCTATGGGTGTGTTTATTTGACACTGCAAATTAAGATTAATAAGCCCACGGACCATGATGTTGACTATTCTGAGACCTGAATTGATTGTAATATTTTCTCTGCCCATCAAACCAAGGGGACTAACTTCCTAATGATGGTAACATCAAGGACACTGGGGATGAAGAGGGATTTATTCGTAGAATGGGAAAAGCTTTTAGTCCTGCAAGACAATGAAGGGCATTTAATATCTGCAAATGAGGGGAGACACCAAAAACTAGAGTGTCAATGTGAAAATGCCCCCCCAGAGGTTATGGCAGTGAGGAAAACTTCTGCTGAGATACAAGAATGAGTCAGAAGAGGTCTACACCCAAGAGGAACTGGAGGAGAAGGTCTCTGGGGAACCCTGCTTGTAGCAATGGAGAGAACAGGAAGGACAGATCTCCTCACCATTCACAATGACCTGAATGTCCTTGAAGTTGATCTCTCCCCGGGCCAGGATCCTGCCCTCACAGCGGTAAGTGCCCTCATCTGTCTTCTTGATGCCCCGGATCTGCAGGTAGTTGTTGGACAGGACTATGAATCGGACTGGAAGAGACAAGAGGCAGGTTCATCCAAGGTCAGTCACAGAACTCCACAATCAGGCAAGCAAGCAGCAGAGCCTCTTGTTCTTGCCTTTTATTGGTTTTTGTGTTTTGTTATTTATGAGACAGAGTTTCACAATGTAGTCTATTCTGGCCTGGAACTCACTAGATAGCCCAGGTTAGCCACGGGCATGCAACCATTCCCTGTGTCAATTTCTGCAGGCTGGGATTACAGACACATAATCCAATCTGGCTATCTTGTCCTTTTTATCCTCAGGGTTGGGTTTTAGGCTGAAATGAGAAAAGTCACCCCTGGCCCTGAAATACAGCTGAGATCAAGTCTACTGGGAACTACTACAAGTCTTTTGCTCTGGAGAGACAACCAGTTGCCCAAACATACCAGTTACAGATACACGTCTGTTTGGGACCCAGAAATTACATGTGGGTTCTGAGTCCCTGAATCTGTGTTTAGATGGAATGCCTCAGGGAACTGGGGGGGGGGGGAATCTAGGGGGCCTGATGGCTCATGGGAACTCAGGTCTTACCATCTTTTTTCAGGATGACATCTCGGCCTTTGTGTTTCCAGATGATGGTTGGGGGCAGAGAGCTGACCACATCACACACAATCACCGCATCTTCCCCTTCCTTGAACTCCTGTGGGGTTGGTGCATTCTTGAACATGAGCTTCTCTGAAAGACAGCAGGAGCAGAGTGAGGAAACCATACCTTCTCATTAGAACTGTGCTGCTTGGATTTCTTCCCAGACCAGTTTCTACCCAAAATACAGGGGTATAGGAGGGGCCCCTGCTCATCTCAGCAGTGAGTCTTTGATGGAGGCAGAGCAGCTAGCATTAAGAGTAGCACATCTATCCTACAGACTGTGAGGGTCATTGCTTGTTTTTTTGGTCTTCCACTCTGACCCCACCAACTTCCTTGCAGCAGAGAGAATTCTGAAGAGTGAATGGCAATAACGCTATAATAATCAACACCTACCCTCTAGCTGTCACCTATCATGACTTGAGCCAACACTATGCATAGTAAGAAGGCAATAAGATGCTACTGCCAGGCTGGCTTTCAGTGGCAATGGGAACCACCTTTTCTGAGCAGCATCAAGTATTAATACACAATACTCCATCTCACTAGGTCATTGGGCTGTATCACTAGCAAATGTAATGGAATAAAAAGGGGAAACATGAACCCTATGTCTGTCATTGTCACTTATAAGTCATGGAGCAACCCTCTAGGAACTGTGTAGTTTCTTGAGAATGGAAGACAGTCGGAATGTAGACTCTTAAGACTGGTGGAAACCAGCCATATGAGTTCTTGTCTGACCATGAACCATTTGAGAATGTACCAGAACTCTTAGCAATTCAGGGACAGAAAAAGGAGCTACTAGGCCCTTACTGATCCTCCTGTTTCCATGTCTCTGCTTTCGCTACCCACCCATGTATCCAATAAATGTGGGAGTGGAAAGTACATATGAGGGCTCTTACGGAAGATCTTCACGTTGACAGTGGCTTCGGACTGGGTGCCATCCTCGCCTGTGACCACACACTTGTAAATGCCAGCATCATCGATATTGGCATTGTAGATGGTGAGTGTAGAGGAGTCGTCATCGTTCCACACCACAGAGATCCGCTGCTGGTTCGGGCTCAGCTTTTCCCCATTTGGTGAAAACCACGAGATGTCCTTATCTTTGGCTTCTCCTGCCACTAAGGATGAAGAGATTATTTTCAGAACACAGAAAATGAGAAGATTTAGCCCTGCCAGAGTGTCAATGGCTACCTAGTACAAGCTGGCAAAGACTGGAAGGCTGGAAAGGGATCTCCATCACCAACCACTCTGCAGCTCTGCTAATTGTCTGTTTAATTATATAATAACATCTCTTAGAGTTGAAAGAACCCATCAGCTGCCTGTGCCTATGATGTTCTATCCTTGGGGAGGGACAATATTTGCTGTGAACCCACTGTGCCCCATGCACTCAGCTAGGAATGAATGTGTCTTATGGAATGGGAAATAAAGCTCCAGGACCTAGTTGGCCTGAACCAATTGGTCAGGACATAAAGTGTGGAGACTGGTCATCTTCTAAGTTGAAGATAAGAGAAACTGGGTAATTCAAGAGTTAAGATTCCAGCCATTTTGACTGTAGAAATTGTATGAGATACATTCTGATGCCTGCTGCACCAGTCAATCCCTTACAAGCTCTGGGGAGACAGAACATGCCTCCTCTCTCTGGGCACTTGTGAGGGGTACTGCTATTGCTCAGCTGCCTAGGAGCCAGAGTGGGTCAGGGTGAAGGGATCTCTGAGCCAGCATTCCTTCTTTGTTCTACTACCTCTATGGGGGTACCAGCCTGTACTGCCTAGCCCTGTGCAAATGCTTGGTACAGAAATGCCATCTTCCTTTTGGGGCTCATCATGTTTGCAATAAATATCACAATCTGCAAGATGTGCTGTGGGCACTAAGGCTATATCTTCAGATCATTGAAACTGCTGTAATGACAGCATAGCTGGAACAAATGTTTCCATTGGCCACAGTCCTCTGATCAGATGCAAATCACGGTGGCAGTTAAATCTCCTTCCTGCCCAAAGCTGCTTGCTAAATGCCACAGCTCACACCTAGTTCAGTTCATTCCTGTTTCTGTTACATTCCAAATCCCAGGCATGTCATCTACAAATGCCTTGAAGCCTAATTCCACATTATTTCCTCCCTTGGATGTTTCTAGATTATGATCAAGGGTATATTTCCTAAGGAAGCAATAAGAATACCAGCTCCAACATGTTCTGGAGTTGTGCACATGTGTGGTGGTGATGGTGATGGACAGAATGTATTGGGTATTTGGAACAGTCGGGGAAAACCAAGACTTGTATCTTCATAACCAGTGCCATTCATATTCAACGTACTTTCAAAACCTTGGATTTTTGAGGTCTGACTTATTCTAAGAAATAAACTTTAACCTGATCTATGGAAGCTTTCTTTCTAAGTTCATGTTGCATTCCAGAACTGTGCCTATAGATAAAATACAAGACCTGTGATGACTCACTCTCTGGGGTGTATGCTGGTTTCCTACAAACCCATTTGAGATGCTCCAGTGTTGAGCAGAAGCACAGATGGTATGCCATTATAAAGACAGAATCTCTGAGAAGGGTATGAAGTGGTTATACTACTGACCAAGAGGGGAACCATGGCCAGAATTCTAGGCCTGGAACTCCCAGACTCTGATCTGAGCAGTAAGTTTTGGAGACGAACTTTGGGATGTGATGGGACCCAGACCCAGGACACTTGCCTTGACACAGGAAGAATTTGGACTCTCCGACGCTGATTTCTCCTTGGCTGGGAACAATATCCACTTGCAGAGCAACTGAAAAAAAAAAGGAAAATGTTGAGTTCAAACACACATTTAAAAATTTGAGAGCAAACCCCAGAGCTTTCACTCAAAAAATGGGATTTTTCAAACTCATCTTTAAAAAGACTATGAGGTTTATTTGGCTTCTGAGAACTTGCCACTATCAAAGTGACTTTACACGGTAGCCAGAAGTAGACACAGCCCAGACGACTCCTACATGGCACTGCTATCTGCTGTCATGAGTGAAACTGACTAAACAACTATGCTTTGTATTCACAGAAAGAGCCAGCTAGCCAGTTCCTTTTGGGTGTCAGTCTGGAGTGTCTTTAGGGCTGTTAAGAGCAGGCAGCTTGTCACCCCAGAACTATGCAGAGGGATAGCGTGCACGTTCCCTATGCCACAATGCTCCATCACTGTGAATCAGGTCCATGCTGAAGCAGGGAAGCTGTTGAGAGTCCACCTCGCCCTGAACCGTGTAACCATCACGCCTGTGTCCAGAGCTAGAAATACATCAGTATGCCAATCAGTCTGCTGTGCTGCTCAAACCCCCACAGCCCCTGCTTTGTGGAAGTCTCTGCATCCCTTGGCTACTTTCCCTGAATTTTTATTTGAATATCCATACGCTCAGTCTCCCCATGGCACTGATAAGAAAAAAAAAAATACATAACAGCAGATCTCACCAATGTCAGCTTCACTCTGCTTCTCGTTTATCTCCTTAGAGCAGATAACAACTGTTCACGAAAACGCGGTTTTAGGATAGGAAAACAGAATGCTTTATTCATTTGAAATCAACTTCCTTCTGCCTCTGCTCGCTTTAAGCTAATCTGAAAGGCGAAGGCTAGGACACATTGGGTTCTGTGGAGGGAGCTCCTCAGAGTCATTACGAAGCAAGCACATCCCTCTATCCCCCCCCAAATAAAACAGGCTTAGTCATAGAGACTCTGAGCGCTTGCTTCCAACAGCCATTTTCTCTTCACAGTATGATGGAGGGAAAGCTCGTTGCCATGGTGACCGGCTTGCAGGCAGGGCTGGTGCAGCAGCTCTGAGTATGGGCTCATGAGACAAGAGACCACAGTTGTGCTGAGTAGAATACAGGGATCAAAGGGCCTGCCTGGGGCTGGAAAGGGAGTGCACAGGGTGTGTGTGTGGGGGGGGGGCAGAGTGTTGGTGGTACAGCTTTCCTAACCATCCTGACAAGGCAGGTCCAGAGAGATTCAGCAGAAGCTATGGAGGGAAAGGGGTGAAGTAGAGGGAAAAAAATGGAAGGAAGAAAGGGTGAAGGTAAAGGGTTCAGGGTCAAGGAGGGAGGGGAGGGGGCTGAGCTCTCCTCTAAGGATAAGAGGCTGAGCTTGGGCACATTCAAATACTGAACTGGAGGAAATAATAAAATAATCTACAGGGCGCTACGACTTCCACCATGCTGCTGGCAACCAGTCTGGGGATCAGAGCTTAATTCTTACCCAAGAACGTGTCTTCCCCATGTAGCCTCGAACTTTCTGTGCATAGCCCTTGGCACACAGCTGCACTGGGACATGATGCTGGCCAGGGAGGTGTTCACTGGTCCAGACTCAACCAGCTGGGGCTGCTTTCCTCATCCTCTCTAGCTGGACTTAGGTGCTGTTCAGTTCCACACTGTGACATTTGGAAGGGGTCTCAGAGATTGCCCTGGCCTGCCTCGTCACTCTCCAGACAGGGAGGAGCAATGAAGCGATGTCCTTACAGTCATTTCTAGTTGCAGGTTTGTGCTGTGGAGCTCAGGCCTCCTGGTTCTCTAAGCTCTCACTCACTTTGCAGTGCGATCTTCATGAAGAGGGAAGACATTTGCATCGAATGTAAGAGACCAGCAAGGCTGTTTCTTGTGGAGTATAGAAAGCCCAGGGTTTAGCCCCTCTGCTATTCTGAGAGCTTGGGGCCTCATAGAGAGGGCTACAGAACACAGCTATGAATCTGAAGGCCGACCAGAACCTCTCACATTGCTTTTGGTAGCTCACACTTCATGGTATGGACGGTACATTGAACTCCAAAAGCTGTGCCTCCACCATGACTCACCTGAGCACTATTCTTTTGCAGAGTGTCCAGGGCATTGTCTAAAAGCAGAGGCACACTGCTGTCTGCAAAGTTCACGAGCCATATGCTGAGCATTAGCTGTCGGCCTCAACATACGGATCCTGTTACTTCAGTGCCCTCACTGCTGGGGAATATTCTTATTCTGAGCGAAAAAACAACCTTCACTTAAAAAAAAAAAGTTCCTTTCAAGAAAAGAACATGACTCTCGAGGGGGAGTCAGGCTGAAGTGCTTTCATACCCAAATGTAGCCAGGATCTGTCTATGGACAACTGAGAGAAAGAGAAATGCGAATTTCAAAGGAATTCCCAGCTTAACGGGATCCCTCACACACATTTATCATTGGTTCTAAAAACAGAAATCTTCCATGGAGACTGCTAGCCCTTTGCACACAAGGAAAAGAGACTGATTTCTCTCTCAAAGCACCAGACAGGGCTGGGACAGAGAAGCCTGGACGCTCTGGATGTTTTAGACTGTAGTCAGTGGCCGATTATTCTCCTACACATGCCAAACCTTGAAATATTAGGTCTAATAACAAGAAGTGGAAACCCGTAGTCAAGTATAAACTCCAAACTCCTTGCCTCCCCTGCTTGCTCCTTCCCTCCACGCCTTTATTGCTACTTTTCATTGTTTGCAGTAAAATCTCCTGAATTGTGTGTCTCCACGGGAAAGATGAGAACACATCTGTGTATGGGTCCAGGCCCAAGTGGGCACTGCTGAGGAAGGTAATTTCCTAAGTGGGAACAATGCACACCTTTAAAGACACTTGTGCAAGCATTGCTCTCTGATCACGTGTCTCTTGCCCTGCTTTGCTTCAGCCTTCTCTGCATAAACACTGTCATCTAAGCTGCATATGAGATTAATAGTCCCAACCCTAGGTGTTTGGACCTGGGTGGGCTTTGCTGGTTGGGATAACATTGTTCAGCAATTTCCATGTTAAGCCCACCTGTAGCCAGCCTGCACTATCAGGTTTACAAAAGCCATTTCATTATTATATCAATCTGTTAACAGTTCAGAGAGATAAGACAGACAGAGGGTGCTGTATCGTTGGCAGGAGAGGAAACTGTGATGCCGTTTTACTTAGATGGTGAGTAACTCAACCAAAAATGAATGAATGAACATCATCTCATTCAAATAAATGCTTCAGTTCATATGTCTCCATTTTATAAACGCTTTGAGCCTGCGCGCACGCACGCACGTGTGTATGTGTGTGTGTGTTGTATAGGTTAGAGGTCAATCTCAGGTGTCATTATTCAGGAGCCATCTACTTTCTTTTTTGAGAAGTTTGTCTCATTGGCCTGCAGCTCATCCAATTAGGCTAGTCTGGTTGGCTAGCAAGCCCCAAGAATCCACCTGCCTTCACCTCCCCAGCACTGGTATTACAAGCACATAGCACTACACCAGGCTTTTTCATATGGATACTTGCAGATTAAATGCTATCTTCCAAGGCTCCCAGAATCTTTTTGAAGCATCCAAATAGACTTTTTGTAACCTGTTAGTTTCCATTAGTTGTGCTTTCTCTCCAAATCATGGGTTATATGTAGCATTTTGCACAAAAATATTTCAACTACATTGCTGTCACCATTCCCCTGTGGTTAGTGATAACTGTCCTCTTTGCTCACAGATGATAACATGACTCCCATTTGACAGATGGGGGAGCAAAAGATCAAGGCTTTGATTAATGGTCTTAATGGTCAAGAGTCGAGCTCACAGTGGACAAAGTCCAAAGCCCCAGTTGTTTCTCTCATACTATGTTAGCCCCTGTGAACGGATATTTAAAAAAAAAAAAGTTCCGTCCTCTAATGAACAGAATGGTCCACATCTTATCTCATGTAAATAGGTCTGTAGGAGAGTTCTTGATTTTAAAATTTATTTGTCATGTTCAATCCCTCCCTCCCTTCCATCCCCCCCTTGTTAATGAATGTTCTGGAAAGGATGCTCCCTCTTTTAAGTGCAGATAGATGTTTTGCAATTCCCAGCTCCTAGCAAAAGTAGGCTATAAAGTTGTAGTTACTGAAGAAAAGTGAATGAAAATTTCATTTCTTAGATGATGCTAAGGTATGTATGGGGGAGGTGGGGGTCTTGTTAGGGAAAGCAACAGCAAAGACTCATTCTGCTTTCCAAAGGAGTCACAGATTTCGCTTAAATCAGCATTTCCTCAGTTTAACTTCACCGGGTTTCTCTTCAGATTCTAATGTGTTTGTGGGGTAGGAGCTTCAGGCAGAAAGCAAATTCGGTCTCTGTGGCCACTTGGAAGTACAACCATGTTGGGAGGTTATGAAGACACTGGCCACGGGAAAGATGAAAACACATCTGTGTATGGGTCCAGGCCCAAGTGGGCACTGCTGAGGAAGATGTCTTAGGATTAACCCATTTAAGATGGATAAGCTACAGAGGATTGCTCTGCTTAGTGACTATGCATGAGATGGAAGAATTTTCTAGGACCTATTTAATAATGGCCAAAGACTTTTGAAAAAGGCGTTGAATCACAGCTTTTATGGTTATTTTGTTGGTTTTTGTTTTAGAAAAGAGCCTTAAGTGTTGCTATACACAGTTACCTCAGTGGAGAGATGTGGTTTTGTTTTTCTATGTATAACTAGGGGGCTTTTCATGTGACTGTAGTTGCTGTAATTTCAGCCAGGACAGGAACACAGGAACTGAGAGCACCTACTGACAGTGACATTTTACTCTCCACTGCTAAACACATGGAGCTCAAAGGAAGTAAAACAAACTAATGTGGTAATCATGCCCAGGATCTGTCCATCTGCTGCAGTGTGAATCTTAGCTTGACATCGTGTTAGCTGTGTGATCATAGCCTACTTACCTAATGTCTCAGGACCTCCTCTGCAAAACAGAGAAAATAAAACAACCCATAGCTTTGGAAAGGTTATGTGAATTAATATTTGGAAAAATCACATAATAAGCTCCCAGGACTTGTATATTGTATGCCG